TACGGGTCAATCTGTTTAAGATTGGAGATCTATCTTTAATGGTTCCGTTGTGTGAGTGTGTGAATGATTTAAAACATATCTATTATATTGTCATCTTTAATGTTACATGTGAGACGGGTCAATCTGTTTAAGATCAGAGATCTATGTTTAATGGTTCCGTTGTGTGAGTGTGTGAATGATTTAAAACATATCTATTATATTGTCATCTTTAATGTTACATGAGACGGGTCAATCTGTTTAAGATCAGAGATCTATCTTTAATGGTTCCGTTGTGCGAGTGTGTGAATGATTTAAAACATATCTATTATATTGTCATCTTTAATGTTACATGTGAGACGGGTCAATCTGTTTAAGATCAGAGATCTATCTTTAATGGTTCCGTTGTGTGAGTGTGTGAATGATTTAAAACATATCTATTATATTGTCATCTTTAATGTTACATGTGAGACGGGTCAATCTGTTTAAGATCAGAGATCTATGTTTAATGGTTCCGTTGTGTGAGTGTGTGAATGATTTAAAACATATCTATTATATTGTCATCTTTAATGTTACATGTGAGACGGGTCAATCTGTTTAAGATCAGAGATCTATGTTTAATGGTTCCGTTGTGTGAGTGTGTGAATCATTTAAAACATATCTATTATATTGTCATCTTTAATGTTACATGTGAGACGGGTCAATCTGTTTAAGATCAGAGATCTATGTTTAATGGTTCCGTTGTGTGAGTGTGTGAATGATTTAAAACATATCTATTATATTGTCATCTTTAATGTTACATGTGAGACGGGTCAATCTGTTTAAGATCAGAGATCTATGTTTAATGGTTCCGTTGTGTGAGTGTGTGAATGATTTAAAACATATCTATTATATTGTCATCTTTAATGTTACATGTGAGACGGGTCAATCTGTTTAAGATCAGAGATCTATGTTTAATGGTTCCGTTGTGTGAGTGTGTGAATGATTTAAAACATATCTATTATATTGTCATCTTTAATGTTACATGTGAGACGGGTCAATCTGTTTAAGATCAGAGATCTATGTTTAATGGTTCCGTTGTGTGAGTGTGTGAATGATTTAAAACATATCTATTATATTGTCATCTTTAATGTTACATGTGAGACGGGTCAATCTGTTTAAGATCAGAGATCTATGTTTAATGGTTCCGTTGTGTGAGTGTGTGAATGATTTAAAACATATCTATTATATTGTCATCTTTAATGTTACATGTGAGACGGGTCAATCTGTTTAAGATCAGAGATCTATGTTTAATGGTTCCGTTGTGTGAATGTGTGAATGATTTAAAACATATCTATTATATTGTCATCTTTAATGTTACATGTGAGACGGGTCAATCTGTTTAAGATCAGAGATCTATGTTTAATGGTTCCGTTGTGTGAGTGTGTGAATGATTTAAAACATATCTATTATATTGTCATCTTTAATGTTACATGTGAGACGGGTCAATCTGTTTAAGATCAGAGATCTATGTTTAATGGTTCCGTTGTGTGAGTGTGTGAATGATTTAAAACATATCTATTATATTGTCATCTTTAATGTTACATGTGAGACGGGTCAATCTGTTTAAGATCAGAGATCTATGTTTAATGGTTCCGTTGTGTGAGTGTGTGAATGATTTAAAACATATCTATTATATTGTCATCTTTAATGTTACATGTGAGACGGGTCAATCTGTTTAAGATCAGAGATCTATCTTTAATGGTTCCGTTGTGTGAGTGTGTGAATGATTTAAAACATATCTATTATATTGTCATCTTTAATGTTACATGTGAGACGGGTCAATCTGTTTAAGATCAGAGATCTATGTTTAATGGTTCCGTTGTGTGAGTGTGTGAATGATTTAAAACATATCTATTATATTGTCATCTTTAATGTTACATGTGAGACGGGTCAATCTGTTTAAGATCAGAGATCTATGTTTAATGGTTCCGTTGTGTGAGTGTGTGAATCATTTAAAACATATCTATTATATTGTCATCTTTAATGTTACATGTGAGACGGGTCAATCTGTTTAAGATCAGAGATCTATGTTTAATGGTTCCGTTGTGTGAGTGTGTGAATGATTTAAAACATATCTATTATATTGTCATCTTTAATGTTACATGTGAGACGGGTCAATCTGTTTAAGATCAGAGATCTATGTTTAATGGTTCCGTTGTGTGAGTGTGTGAATGATTTAAAACATATCTATTATATTGTCATCTTTAATGTTACATGTGAGACGGGTCAATCTGTTTAAGATCAGAGATCTATGTTTAATGGTTCCGTTGTGTGAGTGTGTGAATGATTTAAAACATATCTATTATATTGTCATCTTTAATGTTACATGTGAGACGGGTCAATCTGTTTAAGATCAGAGATCTATGTTTAATGGTTCCGTTGTGTGAGTGTGTGAATGATTTAAAACATATCTATTATATTGTCATCTTTAATGTTACATGTGAGACGGGTCAATCTGTTTAAGATCAGAGATCTATGTTTAATGGTTCCATTGTGTGAGTGTGTGAATCATTTAAAACATATCTATTATATTGTCATCTTTAATGTTACATGTGAGACGGGTCAATCTGTTTAAGATCAGAGATCTATGTTTAATGGTTCCGTTGTGTGAGTGTGTGAATGATTTAAAACATATCTATTATATTGTCATCTTTAATGTTACATGTGAGACGGGTCAATCTGTTTAAGATCAGAGATCTATGTTTAATGGTTCCGTTGTGTGAGTGTGTGAATGATTTAAAACATATCTATTATATTGTCATCTTTAATGTTACATGTGAGACGGGTCAATCTGTTTAAGATCAGAGATCTATGTTTAATGGTTCCGTTGTGTGAGTGTGTGAATGATTTAAAACATATCTATTATATTGTCATCTTTAATGTTACATGTGAGACGGGTCAATCTGTTTAAGATCAGAGATCTATGTTTAATGGTTCCGTTGTGTGAGTGTGTGAATGATTTAAAACATATCTATTATATTGTCATCTTTAATGTTACATGTGAGACGGGTCAATCTGTTTAAGATCAGAGATCTATGTTTAATGGTTCCGTTGTGTGAGTGTGTGAATGATTTAAAACATATCTATTATATTGTCATCTTTAATGTTACATGTGAGACGGGTCAATCTGTTTAAGATCAGAGATCTATCTTTAATGGTTCCGTTGTGTGAGTGTGTGAATGATTTAAAACATATCTATTATATTGTCATCTTTAATGTTACATGTGAGACGGGTCAATCTGTTTAAGATCAGAGATCTATGTTTAATGGTTCCGTTGTGTGAGTGTGTGAATGATTTAAAACATATCTATTATATTGTCATCTTTAATGTTACATGTGAGACGGGTCAATCTGTTTAAGATCAGAGATCTATGTTTAATGGTTCCGTTGTGTGAGTGTGTGAATGATTTAAAACATATCTATTATATTGTCATCTTTAATGTTACATGTGAGACGGGTCAATCTGTTTAAGATCAGAGATCTATGTTTAATGGTTCCGTTGTGTGAGTGTGTGAATGATTTAAAACATATCTATTATATTGTCATCTTTAATGTTACATGTGAGACGGGTCAATCTGTTTAAGATCAGAGATCTATGTTTAATGGTTCCGTTGTGTGAGTGTGTGAATGATTTAAAACATATCTATTATATTGTCATCTTTAATGTTACATGTGAGACGGGTCAATCTGTTTAAGATCAGAGATCTATGTTTAATGGTTCCGTTGTGTGAGTGTGTGAATGATTTAAAACATATCTATTATATTGTCATCTTTAATGTTACATGTGAGACGGGTCAATCTGTTTAAGATCAGAGATCTATCTTTAATGGTTCCGTTGTGTGAGTGTGTGAATGATTTAAAACATATCTATTATATTGTCATCTTTAATGTTACATGTGAGACGGGTCAATCTGTTTAAGATCAGAGATCTATGTTTAATGGTTCCGTTGTGTGAGTGTGTGAATGATTTAAAACATATCTATTATATTGTCATCTTTAATGTTACATGTGAGACGGGTCAATCTGTTTAAGATCAGAGATCTATGTTTAATGGTTCCGTTGTGTGAGTGTGTGAATGATTTAAAACATATCTATTATATTGTCATCTTTAATGTTACATGTGAGACGGGTCAATCTGTTTAAGATCAGAGATCTATGTTTAATGGTTCCGTTGTGTGAGTGTGTGAATGATTTAAAACATATCTATTATATTGTCATCTTTAATGTTACATGTGAGACGGGTCAATCTGTTTAAGATCAGAGATCTATGTTTAATGGTTCCGTTGTGTGAGTGTGTGAATGATTTAAAACATATCTATTATATTGTCATCTTTAATGTTACATGTGAGACGGGTCAATCTGTTTAAGATCAGAGATCTATGTTTAATGGTTCCGTTGTGTGAGTGTGTGAATGATTTAAAACATATCTATTATATTGTCATCTTTAATGTTACATGTGAGACGGGTCAATCTGTTTAAGATCAGAGATCTATCTTTAATGGTTCCGTTGTGTGAGTGTGTGAATGATTTAAAACATATCTATTATATTGTCATCTTTAATGTTACATGTGAGACGGGTCAATCTGTTTAAGATCAGAGATCTATCTTTAATGGTTCCGTTGTGTGAGTGTGTGAATGATTTAAAACATATCTATTATATTGTCATCTTTAATGTTACATGTGAGACGGATCAATCTGTTTAAGATCAGAGATCTATCTTTAATGGTTCCGTTGTGTGAGTGTGTGAATGATTTAAAACATATCTATTATATTGTCATCTTTAATGTTACATGTGAGACGGGTCAATCTGTTTAAGATCAGAGATCTATGTTTAATGGTTCCGTTGTGTGGGTGTGTGAATGATTTAAAACATATCTATTATATTGTCATCTTTAATGTTACATGTGAGACGGGTCAATCTGTTTAAGATCAGAGATCTATGTTTAATGGTTGCTTTATGTGAGTGAGTTTAAGTATCGTACCGAGCGGCCTCTTCAGGTACTTGTGGTGTATGGCCTGCGCCACTTGCAGCAGAGCGCTGGCCAGTGAGCGCACGACCCCGGCCCCCTCCCCCCCGGCCGCCTCGCCCCCTCCGTTCTCCATCTTGATCCCATTCACCCTGGGCGGCTCCAGACAGTGTCCCGGGTCGCGGTACTTGTTCTCCACGATGCCCTCCAACTCGGTCTCATCTAAATCTGTTTGAAAATCGATCATTAGTATCACAAGTGATAAGAAGAAAGCATGAGATGACGTCTTATAAATATATCGAGTATTTTCCTATTAATTACAATAGAGAATAGTGTAGTTTTGAAGTTGTGACTATAATATAGTGCCTAAGTACCGACAATACATTTTCCGAGTTTTACAACATAGTGAAGATCTGTTTACCTGGAGGTAATTTCAGTAGTCCGTCAGGTAAATGGCAGTCGTCCCTGAACCGTCCGTCGGGGCCCCAGGTCAGTGACCTCGCTTGCTTGTCGTAGCCGCGCACCATGAGGGTCCCGCGCCACGCCGACCGCTCCTGAACAGAGTCATAATCATCAAACAAGCTCATCTTAATCCCTAGCCCTACATAGAGATTTGTAAGATTTTCGGATAAACTATGATGAAAACGATCTTGACTGTCCGTGTTCACAGTTGCTACAAAGCAACCGAAACGTCGGGGATATGTAAAAGTAAGAAAAACGCGAAATGTTATTCGATAATTTTGGTTCCATCAGGTATTTGTCGATATATTATGACAGTAAAGTAGTTTCAGATCCATCACTATCAGTTGAAGGGCAATTAAATACAATCAGTTATATCATTATCATTCAGTACATAGTAGCAATCAAATAGAAATAGCTTATCAAGTGGACGGTTTGTCACAGATGTATGAAACACTTATAATAACTAATATTACTAGCTCACCTTAACTTTCAATGCTCCCAGACAGCCGTGGAAGATCTTTTCCTCTAACTCCAAAATGTGGTCTCTGAGCGTCAGTTCCAGAGCATCCGCCAGAGAACAGTCTGGAAGTACCGTGAGGGAAGGTTGGAACCGGCGCTGGCGGGTCGACGGCACGTGCGGCGTCGGCTGGAACGAAACACGCTTATATTATTAATTGAAAACAATATGATAGCGACGCTCTTGATGACGTCATAATGCAAAATGGCCGGCTGATGTACGTGTAAGATTAAATATCTTATATAATTTTGTAAATATAACTACAATCATACATATTTTTATCGTGTTAGCTCCTTTTATAACCACTATCACTGCATGAGGTATTGTCCTTTATAGGTAATGCATTTAGTTTTAAGATAAATGTTGTTATTGTAACTAATATTGTGTTGATGTGTTTACTCCTGGAGGATCTTAATAAATAAATAAATCATACAATCTTGTCAATTCGTACGTTGTAACAGCATATTTCAGCTCCACAATATTTACTGATGAGCTTATCATTAGTATTTATTTGAACGACTCACAGGAGGAGGGCCGGGTGTTAGCAGGTTGAGAGGACATTTGGTGATGTAGTCAGCTATATGTTCCTTGTCTATCTCCAAGGCCTGTTTCAGTTCACTTTCTCTCAAGCCCCGCTTGTTGAGGGACGCGATGAGCGCCTGTAACTGGTCACGAGTGTGGTACACCCACCATTGTGGTCGGTAATCACCCTGTAATAAAACAATAGGTAATTACTAATTTGTATAATGATAGGCATTGGGATACTGTACTATAGGAAATCACCTGACTTTATAACTCTCAGATTATACAATTGGTTAACATAAATAATTAAATATTAAGTGTGAATTTACTAATATTTTATATATAAAAAGTAACTTCTTTCTTATAGTTTTATTGCGAGTGCCACACCTTCCCGTGTACATAACACGTGTTAACGTCAGCAGTACACAGCAGCATGTCCCTGCAGTGCTGCACCGTACTGTCGATGGGTTTCTTGTCTTGGCTCAAACCATTCAGGTTTGTTAGAGGTTTCTTAGGAGAGGCACCGCGGGAGTTGGCGCCGGACTCGTTCTCTTTGTCGCTGCCAGCTAACAATAAAAAGACATTAGATAGATTTTATTATTATATTACTAATTAAATATCAAAGTGTATGTATATATATACGTCCAAGTAGAATATGTACCATTTTATCTGGAACTACTAAGGTATATGATATTAAGCAGAATATAGGCTAATGAGATCTAAGATGTTCACGAGTTTTATTCATTTAAATGAAACTAATATTTATCGGATTATACGCGACTTTATTTTTGTAAGAAACTACATTCTCCCGACTTCGGCTATTTTTCAGCAACCGTGATCACGGTCAGAAGAGATACAAGCATCTCACATTCAGCATGGCTGAAAAGTAGCCGAAACGTCGGAATTTATAGTTTCTTACAAAAATAAAGTCGCGTAGTATAATCCGAAAACTATAGTTTCATTTAAAAGTGTTATATATTAGTTATGGTTGCTCGATATTGTTAAATAATAATAGGATGTCAAGTGTAATGTAGGTAGATTACTTTATATTATTAGTTGCCGTCATTCAGTTTGCTCAATACATACATGACAAAATTAATATTGTTTTATTGAATACTACAATAAAATTATACAGGGTCCACATGAATTTGTGTCTGTAATACCTTGTTCTTTCTGTCTCTCTCTCTCCCTCTCCGAGTGGAACAGTTCAGTGACGTAAGACAGGATGTCGTCGCGGGGTGCGGGCGGCGGGGGCAGGGGCTTGTTGCGGCACGGACCGCGGGGCTCCGGGCCCGCCTCCACGAACAGGCCCGCCACGCGCCGACTGATCCAATAACGACGGAACGCGCGGTCCGACCCTAGAGATGACTTCGTGTTATCATACTATATTAAGCAATTATTATGTATGTGTATATCTTTATACAGGGTGACTGGTGAATTACTATCGTTACTTGAGGACGTGATATTTGACGATCATATATGTGTCGGATCGCCGAGTCCACTAGGGTCTTGTAATTCACTCTTATTTGCTATCTAACCACTAACACTTCACAAAACACTTCACAACACTTTAAAGTCACTACACTTCACTTTACTTCTTGCTTTTTGATTAACACATGAAATCGAGCCACGTGGATTTCCGAGGGTGCGTCCAACACTACGTCCAAATGAGCACCACCCTTGCAGTGTGACTGCTGCAGTTTATATGCTTGCTCACTACTATGAAGTTGGCGCCTCTCGCAACCCCACTCGACAATCTAACTGACGTTAGCGTCGGCTCTTTATAATAAATTGAGTTACTTTTTAAATTCCATTCATAATATTAATCAACTAAAAACAATCAAACAAATTAAAAGAAATAAGGAATACACTTAAATATAAACTTAAAATAATCTTAATCAAACGAACAAACAGCTTTCACAAAATTAGATAGTAAAATGAATTGAGTATCTTCTCTTCAAACTCATAACCTTTATCAACCAAATATAATCACTCAAATAAACGAAAACATTTAAATACAAACATGAAAGAAATGAAACCAAAATATCAACTAGTTTTCCCAAAATAAGGCACTTTACACAACGTATTGTGCATACTCCGTCATATGACAAAATAAAAATTAATATAACATAAATATTAATAAACTTCTAAGTAAAGTTAACCAAAAGTTATGTAATTAATTACGCATCGTGTGAAACCCTACAGATTAGGTATACACACACACTCACACATACACGTGCGACGGCGTCCACACTTGGAACACTTGGAACGTGTCAACACTTTATTTATTTATACGGAAATTTTGTCAAAAATTAAGTGCCTATTTTTTTTTACATAATTCGAATGAGAATCATGTACCGAGTATTCTCCTTAAATATTGATAGTAAGTCACCAGTCACCCTGTATATATAATTCTCCTGTGAGTGTGTATGTCACTGAACTTCTCTCAAACTACTGGACCGATTTCGATGAAATTTTTTGTGTATGTTCAAGGGGATCTGGGAATGGTTGAGATTCACAATTTTGTCCGCTGGATAATGTTTTTTTTTAATTAATTTTCAATTTATTAGTAGTTGTTGATACAAACTTTTTTTTTACATTAAATTTGACAACTAACTAATATGTCAATCATTCTGTCGCACTTCAAAACACGGAGATTTATGGCTTTAAGTTAAAACGGATCTTCTAGTATAATATATAAGCTCACCAAGATACGTGGTATAGTCAAAGAGCTGAGCCTGCAGCTCCTTCAACTTCTTCTCAAACTCCAGTCTCTTAGCGTCGCTCTCCTTGTTCAGCTTGTCTATGGCCACCTTCAGCTGTTCGTCCGCGGCCCGCGCCCGCTCTCCCGTCAGCTTGAGTTCCTCTTTCTTCTGAGCCGCCTCTCTCTTTAACTCCGACCGCGCGGTCGACAGTTGCGGTTCACGTTTGCGTTCGTTAATCTACAGAGAGTATTTATAACATAGAAATTACGTACCGCAATATAAGATAAAGCTGTTAATTCATTGAGTGTGAACATACTTGTAATATTCGCAAGGCTTGCTTTAAGTTCTTATATTCCTCTAACTTCTCCTCAACCTGCTCGCGGACCGTCGAGTAACTCAGAATTTGATTCATGAGACACTGAAGGATCGCGAGTCTGTCATCTGGAATAATGCAATACAAAAACATCAGTTTCAAACCTCTTTATCATTATAAACTTTAAGTTTCATTAAACTACGTATATGTTTTGATTAGCGTTCAGCGAGGGGAAAAATGAAACATTGGTCGATATTTCATAGTTTTTCATAGTTTTCCTAAGTTTATATAATTTTTTTTTTATTTTGTTATTTTTAGGTAGTATTTTTGTTTTATATTTAAATTAGTGTGTATACTTTTTTGATTGTAATTGGTAAATGTTATGTACACTGATCATTGACGTGCATATCTGTTGTTATAATACAGGGTGACTGGTGAATTACTATCGATACTTGAGGACGTGATATTTGACGATCATATATGACAAAATAAAAATTAATAGACCATAAATATTAATAAACTTCTAAGTAAAGTTAACCAAAAGTTATGTAATTAATTACGCATCGTATGAACACCCTACAGGTTAGGTACACACACACACACACACACACACACACACACGCGTGCGGCGGCGTGGTGTTGTATCAGCACGCCGCCGCACGCGTCCACACTTGGAACACTTGGAACGTGTCCACACTTGATTTATTTATACGGAAATTTGGTCAAAAATTAAGTACCATTTTTTTTTTACATAATTCGAATGAGAATCATGTACCGAGTATTCTCCTTAAATATTGATAGTAATTCACCAGTCACCCTGTATAGTCACCTTACTTAACTGAAAACTATTAATATGTGTGTTGTTAGTGTGCTTATTATAAATAAATAGATATTTTTTTGTACAGAAACTACTTACCGAGCGGTAGATCGGCGACGTGCTGCGTCCGTAACGCTCTCAAAGTATGTGGACGTGACGTGCGCAGGCGCAGCGCTGGGTCATCGGCGCTGGAGTACCCACCACGTTGATGCAGCCGCCACGCCAGGCAGCGGGAACCCGCCACGCCACCCGACGACAGCAGGTGCAACCTTTAAATGCGTATATATGATTTACATTTTGAATCTGATTTATTTTCTTCTCTGAAACATATTTTGTTTAGTTACTTAGCCTTCCATTAAGATTTGTGAGTTATTAAACTTGATAATCATTATAATAGTTTCCTTTTACTGTCAAATAATAGTCAATATAATAAGGCTTAGCGTCAAGTGCACTATATCATATGATATGGCAGTTTGTTTCTCTACAATACACGTTATATGCTTTTATATGTTGTTCTGGTTACCTCAACACTTCAGACACCGTGGTCGGGTCCAAGGGCAGCTTACTGAGTGGTGTCCCGAGATAGGTGTGAGCCCACTTCCCGGCCCGCGTAGCCTGCTCTATGGCGCGCGCTATACCTGTCGAGATGGCTGGAGGTTCCTCTGAAACATAAGTTAACCATTGTAATAATCAAAATTTCTTGAGAATTTCATACTATGGGATATTTTTTGTAATGATATTTAAGATATTCGCGAGCATTAATTTAAATAAAATAATATTTTCGGATACATTTTTGCAAAGGAACTGTCAAATAGGAAGTATGTAGTATCTGAGAAGCTTAATTTTATTTCTTTTTTAAACCCACCTACAGATTCCTGAATCCCCTTGCCTTCATTATATTCCTCTGCCTCATCTTCTTGCAAAGAGAATATTGCTGATAGTAGCATCTGTACCAACTCGCTGAATATCCATGCATGTTCTTTAGAGGTCAATGATTTCCGAAATGTTTCAAGGTCAAACTCGGTGTGAAAAACATCTTTGAGTTTGAGTAGTTCTGAGAAATTGTGAACAAATTCTAACACTGAGAGGAAGTCACCAAAATTTTTATGTGGTATTCCTTCTATCTCTACTGGAGTGCCCTTTGGTATAATCTGAAATAAAATTAAAGCTTTTTAAACTGCAACTCTAGTAGATATTTCTGTGTAGAGTTTAAAACATAATCTTGTTCATGAACCTTATGGTCTTCTAGCTCCTGGTCTTCTTTAACCTTATGCCATTCCTTCATGAATGCCATAAGTCTGGCATTTTTCTCTTTCTTTCTTGCTTTCTCTTCTTCTTTATGTTGCCTCATTAAGTCCTCCGCTTTTCTCATTTTATCAGCCATTTCTTGTGCTACTTTTCTGGCTTCAGGATCAATGGGGGTTTTTGATTTACCTGTTAAGAAAAAAATCAATAGAATATATTTAAAATTATAAATTATGAATAATATTTAATGTATGGATTTAATAATGTCTCAAACACTAACCATCTGATTTATCAGTTTTCTTAACAAATTTATCCATAGACTCCTGCCGTCCCTTCTTATCGGGACTGAGTTTTTTGGCTGATCTCGACCCTGAGCCAGGAGTGTGTGGTAGCCTTGAAGTGGATGGCGGGGACATACTGAACTTTGACAACTTCTTCGATGATGGAAATTCTGGGGGATTCCCCGTGAATATCTGGTCAAAGTTCACTTTTCCTATGTTGTATTTCTCTATTGCTGATTTCTGAAATTTAATACAAATATTTTGACATAAGCTATATTGGAATTTTTCTTGAGAGTAATTTTTTGTAATTATATTCTTAGTTTTAACCTTAAAATATTTCACCATATATTACAATACGAATATTCACACAATCGAAAACAAAATCAAGAAACCTTAATGCCGATAACAGCTCCGGGTGTGACAAACTGTTTCAAGAACAGTCTGTTTTTGTCCCGTGTGTAGACGCCCTTACGTCGCCTTACTCTATCGTAGGGCGCGGTGCCGATCTGGCCCGCTGCCTCAGGATCCTCACTGAACTGCTCCACCTCGTAGCAGTAAGATGATGCTGGGAGCATTGCCTGACTGTAAATTTAATAAATATACAGTTAATTAAATCTTAAGTATAACAATAAATTTTCCTTAATATGGCCTTTGATAAGAATGTGAAATCATTTAGATAGGGCGTTAACTATTTTGTGAGAGGTCAAAGGTATGTTATAACTTATAACACAACAAAAAAGTTTAAACGTTATGTATAATAGAGTATATGCTAAGCAGAATACTATGAAATTTAAGCCTGCTACTGAAAAAACTTATTGATGATTTTTAATGTTACACTTTTAACAAGATTGCTACTATAGATAGTTCTTTCTATGCCTTTCAATATTAAGATGATTATAAAATATTCCATAATCAGATGTATGAAAGCAATTCTGATATTTTATTATTATTTAGTATAATATGTAAGTTGCATAACAATTTATAAAACTTTAAATATAGCCAATTACATTACTAATTAAATAATTAAACAAATTTTAAGTTACACTGAATATCATTTTCCTTTTTACATTCAGTTGAACTCATACATGTTATCTTTTAATCTGTTTTGTATATCTTTACCCTATTTTTTTCTTTATTTTAAGATGATATAAAATGTTAATATTTATAAAAACTATTACGACAACTACTATTAAAACTTTTATTCATAGTCATAGTGAAGATATATTTTATTTTATCCCACATATAACTTATTAATTATTTTTCTTATCATTGCCAATAAAATTAATATTCATTATGAACTTCCTGTATTACATTTTCCATTGTGTATATCCTCTGCCAACTTTTAAGTGTTGTCATTTTGACTTTAGATATGTATAAAACATTTAGGAGTATTTTTAATAGGTATGATATATTTGTAGATAATATTTACCTGTCCGGATGCTGTTTGGGTGCTGTGACCGACAATATATGAGCCTCTCGCCAGAAATCACCTTCTAGGCAGGCCTCAACAGTTTCACCCACAAAGAACCTCACTCTCACAAAATTAAATACATCCTCTGACATGTCTGCAAATGAACTCCTTTTGGTCCTTGCAGCCAAATATAGTATTGGTATTCGGAGCTCCATTGGGAAATCTTTTAGTGATCTTCGGGCAGCTTTCTCACTTTCCAAAGCCTCTGCATACGTAAGGTTATTCTTTCCCGTCATCTCACATGACCACACCATTGAATTGACCAGAATGATCCTTTCGCAGTATTCTCTGCCAAGACATTGAATAAATGTTTAATAAACATACTAATAATTGAACTAGAATCTTTAAAAATGCCAAAAGTGATGTTACGCTCGCGTAATTGCAAAGCCTGCCGCGCGAAATCAATGACGACAGTCTCATTACACTCTTATATTTTAAATAATCCAAAAATGCGCGAAAATTATGTTTCCTATGAATACTCACTCATAATCCTTGAATATTTCGTCGGTGATCTCGCAGTGGAACACCTCATCGTCGTCCCTTAGATATTCCGACACATTCGATTTCTCAAAGGCTTTTCTTTTCAATAGAGGCATGTTAAGGGTTTGCGGGTCAGAACGGTGGGAAAAAGTATCTTAATGAGTTTTAAAATAACACTGTTAAACTATATCACTTAACTTCTTACGGCGCATCGATAGCGGTAATCTTCTTTGCTAAACATTAGTAATATGTTAACATTTATCAAGATTAGTAAAGTGAAAATTGTTGCGTGGTTTCGGTTGACAAGCCAAAAAACGGCGCGCTAAGCGCTTCTTTTTACGCCAGAAACATATGAAGTGGGTGGACCACTGCAAAAAAGGGTAGCAATTGGTAGAATTTTTGATATATACTCGCACATATTATAACTACATTTAATCTTTATAATAATTTTTCATGGTCTTTTTACTAATTTATTCCCCTTAAAGTTATATTTAAAGTATTTTAAATTCATATTTGTATTACATAAAATGACATATGAATATATATATATAATAATAAATCGTTGCAATAGAATTGAAGCTCATACACTTCGTAAAATAAATACTTTTATTTTACGAAATGTATGAGCTTCACAAACATTCGGTTTCGTTATATGAGCCAAGAACTGTTCTTTAAAAAATACATTTAATCTATTTTCTTGAAATTGTAGTAATTTGAACTTTGCAAAGAATTTTGACTTTTGTTAACTAACATATGATTCATTTTTAGAGATGGTAACACTGTTCAGTTAATATGATGGACATGTTTGCTTATGAACAAAACAGCTTGTTTTGAAATTACAGGATAATATTATTTAATAAAATATATAATTTTACGTTTTAAGAATTTAGCAATTAAGTAAAGATGCCTAAAGAGCAGTACCGAGAGACCTATGTCGGCAGAAAAATGTAAGGTTATGTTTACATCTATTAATTAACAAAATAATACTATAATTTATATATTTTCTTCATTTTATAAGCATATCCTGGAATTATTTATATGATAGGCTGTCTAAAAATACCTATTTAATTGTTATATAAATGGCATTATTGATGATTTGAATGTTTTTATAAAATTGTATATTATTTGCAGTTCCCATGTTACTTTTAATGTGGATAGTGCAACGGAAATCCAGCAGGCAGCTCACATTCAAGTGATAACAAAGAACTTGTATGCTCAGGATGGTCAAAGAGTACCAGCTAGCTATGGAGTGCTGGACAGACGAATGGTTTGTCTTACAATTCACTGATCTACTCATATAATATGTGATAAGAAGTTAATATGTTGATCAAGGATTGGCCATTCAATTATTTATATTCATATCTGAAAGTAATATATGTTTTTCCTATTATCTTCATTACATAGTTATGTATTTCTTTAGTATCTTAGTTTGAACTCCATTTGATGATTTAATAAATATTTTTTTTATTAACACAGATATTTAATTAAATAGTATAAATTTGAATCATTAATTTAAATATTTATAGATTTTAATCTTTAATACATAGTTTTTGTATAATTGGCTGATTATACTGAGTGCATCTTTGGATGAAAGTCATTTAAAACAACTAATCATGATTGGCCGACATGTATGTATATAAGCACAGTAAATACATGTATGTTATATATATGTCGGAGAAGATGCCAATACGTGGTTTTTAAAATGAGTGACGTCAGCATAACTGACGTCACCAGTGCGGTTTGTCCTCGAATGTCGTCAGCCCTTGAGGTTATCGAAGGTAACTTCACAGCCCTCACAGCCGGTTAGATGATGTCTCACTTCGAAGAGGTTCGATCCCCGCGACGGCTCCAGCACGACTATCTGTAATCAGTAACTCGCCTCTATTTATAATGACTAACCGCCATTGTTATGACTTCACTTGCACAGGTTGTCACGTGAGCGACACCTCACAATTTATCTACCCTCAATTATTGATTATTAAAATGGTAACTGCGCCGACATATATATATATATATGTGTTTTTTAACCAGGGGACAAACCAGAAAGATGCAAACTGTGAAACATGTGGTCTAGGCCTGGCCGAGTGTGTCGGTCACTATGGCTATGTGGAACTCGCTCTACCAGTATTCCATGTGGGATACTTCAGATCTATTATAACTATACTACAGACTATTTGTAAGGCAAGTCAGTCATTAATAATAGTTTTAATTCTACTATTAAACTTACATCAAAGTTTAAAACAAAGTGTAGTATTGGAACAATTTTGTTTCAATTAAATGGGTACATTTGAAAACCTTAGCTATCTTTAAAGCTTAAAATTTAAGCAGTATTTTAAATTGTAATGTTGGTAATTTTTTTTTATTCTACCTGACAATTTCCCAGCTTTAGCCAGGGTAAATTAAATGTAAATTATCTTATTCACTTTTATTGTTAGTCTAATGAATGTATATGATAATTTCCAGAATTGTGCCAAAGTAATGCTTCCGGAGACAATCAAGAAATCGTTCAGTCGTAAATTCATGCATCCAGAACTAACCTACCTGCATAAAAAGAATCTACGGGCAGCCGTTTTAAAGAAAGCAAAGACATGCACAAAATGCCCGTATTGTGAATCCTAAATGGCATTGTAAAGAAGAGTCCAGCGGGAATATTGAAAATTATCCACGACAAGTACAGAACTAAGAAACCAACGGACCCTTTGGTTCAGAAAGTGTTAAAAGATTTTAATGAGGCCAAGGAATCTAATAAAGAATTAGCTTCCATGATTAACAGTGGCTTGATAATAGAAATGAGCCCTTTAGAAGTGAGTATTGTTATAATACTTTGTTATCTGATAATCATTACCATCCTTGCTCAGTAATATGTGTGTGGCTAGTTAGAAACCTTAAAAAATATTTTCATTAAAGTTTTTCAATATGTGTAGATGTACTGTAGATGTAATAAATAGATGAGAACTTCTACAAAATAAGTATAAAAATAATGATTGAGGATGAGTAACAAGACTAGACTATCCAAATTTAATATAATAAATCTAGGATTATATTTTTTGAACAGAAAAATTTCAATAAACTCATAGAATACAATATTGAGTAAAGTCTAAGTTGAGAAGAACAATATATATTCTTGATACATATTTATTAATGTCCATCGATCTGAAAAAAAAAATACGCACTAAGTATCAGATGCATCTTTGTATTTTTTTGTTTTGATCAAAAACCAAACCTCTCGGTACAAATTGCGTGACCGAACCGTTTCTTTGAACATGAGTTGTTTTCTGGCCTTAAAATTGAAATTGGTGGTAAAATCTTATTATTTTTTGATTAAGCCATGAAAGATATGTGGGTTATCGAACAAAAAAATTGACTTGATCGGATATTCTTTTGCCAAAATCATCTGGTACAGCTTTCGCCCACTTCACTCAATAAGTAGAATTTTCTGACTTGTTCCTTTCAGGTGTTAAACCTGTTCCGTCGTATCCCAGACGAGGACGTGCCCCTGCTTGGTATGGACGTGAAGACTTCCCGGCCCGAGGATCTCATCCTGACTCGTCTGCCCGTTCCTCCTCTCTGCATCAGACCCAGCGTCGCTTCTGATATAAAAGCCGGCACGTAAGGCCTAACAATGAAATAACTCAATAGATTTATTGCGTCCAATTAAAATTCTACTAACATTGTAAATGGTAGAATTGTTTTGCTGGCTCGAATGGGAAGTACCACCCTCTCACAGAAGAACAGCTTAAAGTAGCGTTTAATGACTGCTAATAGTCTGAAGAGTGAAATTATACAAAAACATTTAATATATACTGAATGGGTTTTGATGGAGGTTTCCAATTATGTTGTCTAGATATCAGAACAATATGTAGGCTATAAATTATCCCTTCAGTCCCTGTAACTTCATCAATAATACAGTACAGTATGATGACAGTTGTATGTGGTATAAGGCGCAGACGATATATGTGGCTGAATGTCAGTGAACATATGAATATTGTTAAGATATTTGGCATACATTATTCATTGCCATCCAAATAATACAAAGACAAAGCAGACAAAACCGTGATAATAATAGGAGTCTTAAACTAATATAAATATGTTAAATAAATTACTCTATAATAAATTGCATATCAAATTTTTTTTAACATTATATAAAACTTCTAAACATCGGTATGTTAATACTTCCAGTTGCAACAGTTCTTTGTTTCTATGCATAAAGTGTACCGTACGAATTGTCGAACTACCCAACAATAATTTTTTTTTTAATAATTGTTTTAAGTGAATGTATATTCTTTTAAACAAAGTTCTTAAAACCTATGTACCTGTTATGTTTTCAGTAACGAGGACGACCTGACCATGAAGCAGTCGGAGATCCTATTAATCAACGACGTGATCGCGCGCCACGTGGCCAGCGGCGGGAAGAGCGAGCTGGTGCAGGAGGACTGGGACTACCTGCAGCTACACGCCGCGCTATATATCAACAGCGAGATGTCCGGCATACCGCTGTCCATGCAGGTACATTGTACCATCACTACCATTCCTACCACTTAAAAACCTGCTCCATACAAGCGTACGAAAGAAAAATGTTTTCAATATAGTGTTATCTGTATTTTTTTCGTAATATTTTTGTAATTGAAAATTCTTTTGTTATCTTTATTTTTTTATAATATTTTTGTAAGCAGCTAGACAGTAATCTTCAGCAGTGCTGTGTACGTCTATAATTGGTACACACATTAGATAAGTGTCAGTTTTAAGTGCTTAATGTATGTACTGTTGATGTGCCATTCAAATAAATAAAAAAATATATAGTTGTTTGGTTATAATGTTTGTGAATTAAACATTCTTTCCTTTTTTTCATAAGTTTGTGTTCAAGTTCTTTAGAAATAGCAGTGCATAAGTGCAAAAAAGTGGTTTTCTAACACTGTTTGTTGTAGTCCTAAAAATATATATTTTTCAATATTTTATACACGGTTTTTTTGTGAGCTGCAAATGTGTATAGTCTATGGTAATCATCACAAACAGATGAACTATTTTATTGGTTTTTATCCAATTATTTTTTTCCAGCCCAAAAAACCGGGTCGTGGTCTGGTACAAAGGCTGAAAGGCAAGCAAGGTCGCTTCAGAGGGAACCTGTCGGGAAAGAGAGTGGATTTTTCAAGCAGAACTGTCATCTCACCTGATCCCAACCTGCAGATACAGGAGGTTGGTAGATAAGAAACCAAATTACTATATATAAAATAAATAAAAACGTTAAAATTAGTACTTAAAAGACTAAACAGAAATAAAATTGGTATCGGATTTACAATTATAAAAAATTTGAGGCTGGTCCAAGAGTCTTAATATGTTAATTTAAATAATGTTTTTTGTCAGCAATGAAATGATTTTACTGAATTAAAATATGTACTTCATATAACGTTAGTTATCTGAGAGTTCTCAAGCCTGGTAAGGATTGGTCTATTTGTTCTTATAATTAGGACAATACCACTAAGCAATAACAATTTTAAATAATTGCCTTTGATATACTAACTTTGAGAGTTTAGCGTTACATTATTATATATAAATTTGAGTTTCTTGACGTTTTAGCTTGCTCACCTATGTCACAGTCTTTGATGTTAGAGCCACCCATATCATATATTTGGATTTAACTAGCAATTATTTCTTGATCTGTAAACATTATTATTATTGTAATCCTTCATATTTCTTCCCAGGTGGGTGTTCCTGTCCACGTGGCCAAGATCTTGACGTACCCGGAGCGAGTGTTCCCGGCAAACCTTCAATGGCTCCGACAGTTAGTGAGGAACGGCCCGGACGTTCACCCGGGGGCCAACTACGTCCAGCAACGTGGAGTGAGCCACAAGAAGTACCTCAAGTACGGGAACAGGGACAAGATTGCGCAGGAGTTGAAGGTTAGACATACATATATTAAAATTTACTATAGAGACGAAACCTCTTATCATTCAATGGATTCAGAATGTATTAATGTGAGTTCTGGACAAGCCCAAGTCTTTTAGTAGGTTGTAGAGAGATTCCGCTGTTATACCTCTCGCTCCCATCTCTACCGCGTACAAATCCACGACGAACCTATTTCGAGTGAGCTCGTTAGTGAGCTCGTAATATTTGTTGATCTTGATGGTATGGTCTTTGGGGATGTTGGTTTGCTAAGGAACCGTAAGCTCTATCATCACTACGCGCTTTAAAATTCGCGAAAACAAAAATATATCTGGTCTGAAGGCCGACGCACAAATATCCTCGGGAATATATTTTATTATCAGTAGGTAATATATTTTATTTTATTTTATTTATTTATTTTGAGGACCACTAGCAGCTACTACATGTTTAAACTTCGAATACAACACAATTAAACGGAAACAGGTAACATGTGTAGCTTTTTAAAGTGGCCACAACGATCACATTGTTTTAAAAATATATTAATATATAATTATATCGAGAAGATCTAAATAATAATAATAATAATAATAAGTAAATTCATTCATAAAAATTACTAAAAATATTCAAAACAATACAAACATAAATTATATAAACATATATTGTTAACATGGTCAGTAATTGTAGTTATACTTTATATACAGTGCGGTGACACGGTAGAGCGCCACCTGGTGGACGGAGACGTGGTGTTGTTCAACCGTCAGCCGTCGCTACATAAGTTGTCCATCATGTGTCACAGGGCGAGGGTACAGCCGCAGAGGACGTTCCGGTAACACACAGGACATACATACACACACACATTAATACAATACTTTTATTCTGTTGATGTTTCTTATAGTTTATGTTTGTGTACAGTTTCAACGAGTGCGTATGTACGCCTTATAACGCCGACTTCGACGGAGACGAGATGAACATGCACCTGCCGCAGACGGAGGAGGCGCGGGCTGAGGCGCTCATACTGATGGGGGTAGGGACTTGTGATCATTAGAGAACGGAAATATATCAGAGGGAGAGAGTTATATATATTATAGAGAGAGAGAGAGAGAAATTACCGTAATAGTGAATAGAGTGTTGCTTAGTGAGGATAAAGTTGTGATATAGAAATGTGCCTAATGATAAATAGATTATTGCTTAAGCAATTAATAAATAGTGAAGGTAGGGTTGTACTGGTTGTTGAAGTACCAGTAGCTTGATGATCCAAAGGTGGCAAAAATCTGATTGATTTGATATTTATACTTTTTTAACATTAAAACATTGTTCAACTTATATTTGGATTATAATACAGAAAAAAATAAATATAAATTCATTGAGAGTATTTAAGCTATATTGATGAAGCGACTGAAAGCAATTCTACAAGTTCTATTTGAATTTTACTGTATGGTATAATCTCTTTATCTCCAGAACAAGTCTAACCTGGTGACTCCCCGTAACGGCGAGCTGTTGATCGCCGCGACCCAGGACTTCATCACGGGCGGGTACCTCATCACTCAGCGGGACAGCTTCTTCACGCTGTCTGAAGCCCGCCAGCTGGCCGCGTGTCTGTTGGCGGGGCCTGACGCTAATATGAGGATCGACATGCCGCCGCCCGCTATACTCAAGCCGAGGATGTTGTGGACTGGCAAACAGATATTCAGGTATATTTATCGTGAATGACCTTGAAATAAATGTGGTCGATATTGGTTTCCATATATTTGTGACTGTATCTTTTGGGAATTTTAAATAAATACATAATCTCTCAGATTTTCGCGAGTTTTATTCATTTAAATGAAACTAATATTTTTCGAATATACAACGCGACTTTATTTTTGTAAAAAAGTATGTAGTTTTTTACGGAAAATATAAGTTTCATTTAAATGAATAATATACATAATTGTTAAGGTAAAGATATCCTGTAATTTTTATCTCAATAATTTTTAGTTTATTTATTTGTGTATATTTGACTTACACAAGTGTTCTTTCAGTCTGATAATGAAGCCTAACAAGCGGTGTGAGGTGAAGGCCAACTTGGAAACGAAGGGCAAGAACTACACCGGCAACCAGGACATGTGCGTTCAGGATTCATGTGAGTTTGAACGAAATATGAATAATATCTTAGAATTATCATAGAATATTTTATTCCCAAAAGAGGGTTGATGTCAGGCAGGCAGCCGGTCGTAAAAAACAATTAGCCATAACTATTCACAACATGTAAGCAGACCCTGGCTATAGTCGGGAAATTGCCAGGTAGAAGAATAAGAAGATGACTAATATCTTAGAATTATCATACGAATAATATAAATTAATTTAAATATAACCCTTTCATATGATTTCAAGATGTTATAATCCGTAACTCGGAGCTGATCTGCGGCTCCATGGACAAGAGCACCCTCGGCTCCGGTACCAAGAGCTCCGTGTTCTACGTGCTGCTGAGGGACTGGGGCGAGGAGTACGCCGTCAGGGGCATGTGGAGGTGATATATACTATACTAATACTGTACCCCAGGTTAATTTATTGTATGGTACTAGCTGACCCGGCAAACGTTTTGTCATATAAAAAGAGGAGTTGATGATAAAAAGTCAAAATTTGGAGTTGTATGTATTTTTAGTGCCACATTATATAAAAAAATAAGTTAAACAACCCTTATTACTTAGGGGTATGAAAAATATATAGTAGCCGTTTCTCAGACATACTGAATACGAATATAAAATTTGGTAAAATTCGGTAAAGCTTTTTCGGAGTAGTACGATAACTAACATAGTGTCCATGTCATGTTAATTTTATATATTAGATTAATTATAATAAAAGTAAAATAAAATTTTGAACACTATAAAATCATATAACGAAGTTTAAGATCTATAAGTAAGGAACTACCAAAAGCGTTAACATGGGTGTACATTTTCGTTTTATTTTGAATATAATTGAAGTGTTTGTGTGTAGGTTGGCCCGCATGGCGTCCTACTACATGATGAACCGCGGGTTCAGCTTCGGCATCATCGACGTGACGCCCGGCAACAAACTTATAGAGGCCAAGAACAAACTGCTGGAGTCGGGGTGAGCTAACGTCTTATAAAAGTCTACACAGGATATATACCCTTGTTTTTTGGGTCAATTTTCTATCTTTGTCTTTACAAAGATAGAAGATTGACCCAAAAAAAACTTCTTATCTTGTACTGAGAAATTTTGATTACTTCGTTACTAATCAATTCTCTCTTTATTTTTTTAGTTTCTCTTCTATATATGTAATTATATTGTAACATTTTCATATCATGTGTCTGTCTCAACAGTTAATATAAAATGTGAATCATAAAATTTGGAGATCTAATCCGGAAAACATATCTTTTTTAAAGAAAAAGTTGGTGACTGGGAATTTTTTTTTGTAAATGTTTTTACGGCTCTGGATACGAGTCCTTTTGAGCCTTGACTGGGAATCATAAGTTTGTATGTTGCCATATCAAATAAAAATGAGCAATATATTATATGTAATGACCACCCTAAGTGCATGTGTGTGTGCAGGTACTCTAAGTGTGACGGATATATCTTGGAGATGGAGAAGGGCACGCTGCAGTGTCAACCGGGCTGCTCCATGGAGGAAACCTTAGAAGCCATCATGCTCAGCGAGCTCAGCAGCATCAGGTAACATTACTATAGAGTTTAGGACTTGTGATTGTAAAATAATAATCATTTATTTCAGACCATATAACATAGATACATATAGTGTTAGTACATTTCAAATTAAACTTAATAAATAATTTGTATATCAAAGAAATGAAAGCCTTTGTTAGTAGAGTTTTAATTTGGTCCATCTACGGCCTACATATAATGTATAGTAGAAGATTTTGTATCGAATTCTCAAAAAACGAAAATAATTTTGTTAAATAAATTAATAATGAGACCTAAGACTTTCGCGAGTATTCATTTATATTAAACTAATATTTTTGGATTTTATTATTTTAAACTACATACTCCCGATATTTCGGTTACTTTGCAACCGTGATCACAAAGACGATATGTTTATTAAAAATAACTAACCATTCTTTAATATAATATTTGTAATTAACTTCAGAGAGTTGGCAGCCAAGGCTTGTTTCCGTGAGCTACATCCAACTAACGCCCCGCTCATCATGGCTCAGAGCGGCTCCAAGGGTGAGGAACAGTTTTATTTAACTAGTTATTAATGATAATGACTGTGGTAAATATGTCTTACTTTTCCATAGAACAATAAAACTTCATTTTTAGTTTTGTGAATTAATTTTTTATTAAGTAGATGGACTAATAATGTATGGTGAATGTCGCAAAAACACGTGATTTAAAGTAAATTAAACTATAGTGTATTAAAATTAACTTTGAATATAAATTCACGAAGCAACCACTTTATAAAGAGAAGATAACCAAGTTCTCATTAAATAATAAAATTAAATTAATTTTCACACAGACTATTATTATGTAATAAGTTCAGTTGTATTTGGCTCGATCTTGTCAAGTTGTCATAATGATGTATGTGTTCCAGGTTCCAACATCAACATATCTCAGATGATAGCGTGTGTGGGCCAGCAGGCGCTGAACGGGAAACGTGTACCCAACGGCTTCGAGGATCGTTCCTTACCACATTTCGAGAGACACTGTATGGGAAATTGTTGTATTTATATCCTACTAATATTATAATTGCGAAAGTTTGTGAGTGTGTGTATATGTTTGTTACTTCTTTACGCTCAAACGGCTGAACCGATTTTGATAAAATGTTGTATACAGGAAGCTGACGTCCAGAAATAACACATAGGCTACTTTACATCCCGGAAATCCGCGGCTAATACCGCGGGCCGCAGCTAGTTCTAAATAAAGTTCATAGAAATATATTAGATTAATTGGTAGTTATTGTAACCAGTGCTAGTAATCAAAATATCCAGTTTTATTTTACTTCAATCTAGATCTAGATGATAGTAGAATGAAATTAGCTTTTGTTAGTCCAATTTGTGTCTCCAACTGTCCAACAATTTTTGTTTACAGCAAAAATCCCAGCAGCTCGCGGGTTCGTGGAGAACAGCTTCTATTCAGGGTTGACACCAACCGAGTTTTTCTTTCACACCATGGGCGGGAGGGAAGGACTCGTTGACACAGCCGTGAAAACGGCTGAGACAGGATACTTACAGAGGAGACTTGTTAAGGTAGGAATTTAGATTAGAGGTACTCAGATTATGAAATAAGTTGAATAAATAATGAGATCGAAGACTTTCTAGAATATTCATTTAAATGAAACTAAGATTCGGATTACTGCTTGTATGTCTTCTTCTTCTACCTGGAATTTCCCAGATTTAGCCAGGGTCTGCCTTACATGTTGTGAATAGTTTTTGGCTAATTGTTTTTACGACTGGCCGCCTGCCTAATATCAACCCTTTTTTGGGAAAAATGTAATGTAATGCTTGTATGTATGTAGTTTTAAAATTTAATTTGTAGTAATCCGAATAATATTAGTTTCATTCAAGTTCAGTAATTATTATTAACTTGAATTATATATATCTGTAGTCTCTAGAGGACCTGGTGCTCCACTACGACATGACGGTCCGTAACGCGACCAGCGAGGTGGTTCAGTTCCGCTACGGCAGCGACGGGCTCGACCCCAGCTACATGGAGGGGCGAGACAAGCCTGTGGACCTGGCGCGGGTGCTGCGACACGTGCGGGCCAGCTGTCGCACGCAGTCAGTACACACACACACACACACACGGACACGGACAGACACACACACACATTTTTTTTATGTGACAGATGGTAAACTAGCAGACGACCTACTTTATGGAAGATAGTTACCGTCGCCCATGGGCATTAATAAATAAGAAGGGGTGGGAGTAAGGAAATGAAAGGAAAGTAGGGGATTTCAAAAAGGGCAACCGCCTCTCAGTCATCGGACAAAACGCTACTTCACGCCGATTTTCTGTGAAAAGGTGGTACTTCCCCGGTCGAGGTGTAGAAACTGACCACAGCTAGGCTCTACCAACTAAAAAACTGACTTTATGTTTATATGTCAATATTATCACTTCTCAGAGACGAGGAGCCTCTGGACGGTGAGGGGATCGTGGTGGCGGCTGAAGAAACGCTCGCACTGGACGACTTCAAGACCTGCCCGCCGGAGTTCAAGGCGGAACTGCTGTTAGTATTGATATCTATAGTATAAACATGTTAGTGCTATATATGTATGTGGTGGATGTATCACATCTTACTCATAGCAGGCATTTTGGAAGTGTTGTTTACTGAAGATGCTATTGTTATTAATAATAATGAGTAGCTTGGGATAAACTGGGAAAAATTGTTCGGTCATAAAGTTCTATGTTTTTTATACTATAGATATTCATGTTTGGAACTATAACTCATACTGCCTGTACTGTTCTTCAAATATTAATCTTCAGTGTTTTTTAGACGCTATATCTTTTCCCCTACACTTTTAATACTAATTCTATGTTTTTCAGTGAGTTCCTGAAGGGCATAGCGTCCAAAGTACGTTCTCTCCGCGAGAGGTACGCGTCAGCTGGTCCCGTGGCCCTACAGCTGGAGCGACTGACCCTCACACAACTGGTGCGGTTCATCAGAGTGTGTCACGAGAAGTATCAGAGGAGCATCATCGAGCCTGGCACGGCCGTGGGGGCGTTGGCTGCACAGGTTACTCGTTGAATTAAATAAAATCACTCTTCGTTTAAGTATTAATTTACATATACACTAGAAGACCCGGCGAACTTCGTATCGCCCTATAATAAATCAAGAAATATCTGTTACGTTTTTTTATTTATATTTTTGGAGTTTACCTATTAAAGCCATAAATCTTCGTGTTTTGAAGTGCGACAGAATGACTGACATTTTAATTAGTTGTCAAATCTAATGTCAAAAAAAAAAAAGAATTTATATCAACAATTACTAATTAATTAAAAAAACATTGTCCAGCGGACAAAATTGTGAATCTAAACCATTCCCAGATCCCCTTGAACACACACAAAAAATTTCATCAAAATCGGTCCAGTCGTTTGAGAGAAGTTCAGTGACATACACACTCACAAAAGAACTATGTATATATAAAGATATATATGTAATAAAGCTACGAGGAAGCCATCGACTCTGATTTTCTATTGTTCAATTACTTCTTATATCTCTAACTAGCTTTTGCCCGCGACTTCGTCTGCGTGGAATAGTGACTTCCGCCAGATTTTTGGTTCTTCCCACATAGTGCCCGTTCTTGCGGTGTTTTCGGAATGGTCGAGTTCCCGTAGAATTTTCAGGATAAAACCTATGTTTATTTTTATTCACAATGAAGTACTCTTAACCAACAACATATTTATTTCTTTATTTGAATAAAGATGAATATTATTATGTTGATACAACTTAAACAAATTATTTCGTCCAAATTGGGTACCATAAAAACGGTTCTTGTGAGTTAATCTTAAAACATAGACATTTACTGTTGCGTATTGTTTTTTAGATCATTAAAAGAGCTATTATTCTTTCATACATATTTTTTGTGTATCTTGAACCGTTTTCACGGCGCACGCAACGGAAGGCTTCAAAGATGAAATAATTTCTCCCGTTTTTCACACATTTACCACTATATCTTTGCTCCTATTAGTCGTAGCGTGATGTTATATAGCCCACAGCCTTCCTCGATAACTGGACTATCCAACACAAAAAGAATTATTCAATTCGAACCAGTAGTTTCGGAGATTAGCGCTTTCAAACAAACAAACTCTTCAGCTTTATAATATTAGTATAGATGTTATGTTATGAGCCCATCGTTTTAAGCTATACATTTTTTTTATTTCATCTCTCATACAAATATTTTCTTATATTTGTTTGAAAGGTTTTTGTCACAATATCATGTTATATTCCAGAGTATTGGTGAGCCAGGCACCCAGATGACGCTAAAGACCTTCCATTTCGCCGGCGTCGCCTCCATGAACATAACCCAGGGTGTGCCTCGCGTCAAGGAGATCATTAACGCGTCAAAGAACATCTCCACCCCCATCATCACGGCCGAGCTCATGGAGCCCACCGACCAGGAGTTCGCCAGGAGGGTCAAGGGACGAGTCGAGAAAACTACCCTAGGAGAGGTCATATTTATTTGGTCATCTATACTCAACTTGTATAGTGCGTTTGATTTTAGCTGAGCTTTGCATTTGTGTGAGTGCACATGGATAGTGTAGATGAGATATCAAATTTTTGAATGGAACGTTCTTTTCTAGTTTTTAACCGGTTTATTCTGCTTTTACTCCGCCCCGCACCTTCCTCACTTCACCTTTTGTACTGGTAGCAAAATCAAATGTTGAAAATGCAATGTCAAGTGAAGAAGAATTTGTATAGTTTTTTCAAAAATTTTATAAATTAATTTTTTTTTCCATAATATTCATAATATTTCCATCTGGTTCTTACAAGTTTTGCTAATTTTATAGCACTTATGTTATTTATTTACATATGTATTTAAAATAGATAAAAATTTAATTCTAAATGTTTTTTGTCTAACTCTACTATTACTTTCACTCACAAAAATGCAAAGCTCAGCTTAAATCTAACGGACTATACCACTGATATTAACTTCAAACATAATCAATAATTTGCTAAATATAAATAACCGCTGGGCATACAATCACGGCCATGATAAATATCTTCATATGGTATATAATTAGTACATATGTTTGCACTTCTTGCCAGGTCCCAACTCATTAGAAATTCATTCAAACACATATAGCATATAATATATTAACTGTTTGTATATAAATGTGCAGATAACGACGTACATAGACGAGGTGTATCTCCCGCACGAGTGCTTCCTGCTAGTGAGGCTGGACGCTGAGAGAATAAGACTACTGTGTCTGGAGGTTGACGTGCACTCCATCGTGTACTCGTGAGTATGAACTCTAGCATATACAGGGTGTAGTACATGAGACATCTGAATGTAGAAATTAATATTATCACTTATGTACCTTTTAATAATTGCATTCTACGGCTATTTTTATGGTTTTCTAACAATGTCTTATATGTCATAAATAGGGCTTCAAAATAACGTGAAATTTTTTCACTGTAACATTATTTGAATGTTCCTAACGGTCTTGTTTTCTGCTTTTTTTTTGTACAAACCTAAATAATCATCAAATATTTTAGAATATGTACGTCGAAGTTGAAGCTAAAGCCGGGTAATGTCCAAGCTGTGTCCGAATGGGCCATCAAGGTACATGCGGAGGCTGGCAAGCACGGTGGCTGGCTGAACGTGGCGCTGCAGCAGCTCGCGAGACAACTACCCTCCGTGGTCGTTAAAGGACTCAGTAAAGTGTCTCGAGCTGTCATAGCGTGTGATGACACGGGACCCGTTAATAGGTGAGACGGTTTGACATAGAGGGAGATTTACCTAGATATAGTTGGTGGGTTAATAAGGTAGTTGTTGCCTAGAGGTTAAAGAGGTAAAAGGCCCGCCTCTAGTGCATGAGGTCGAGGGTTCGAAACCTGGCAAGTACCAATGTGATTTTTGCGGGTCATGTGTTCTTCCAAAAGTATTTAGACACCACTGACAGACGATGAAGGAAGAAAGTAAGGAAACCTGGACTTTTAAATTCAAATTATAAGTTTGAAATCACCAACCCGTCTTGAGCAAGCGTGGTGATTAATGCTCAAACCTTCTTCATGTGAGAAAAGGTCTTTTGCTCAGCAGTGAGCTCTGATAGGCTGATGATGATAATATTGTTATATTTAGTATTGAATAGTTCAATGTTGAACAGTTCTTCAGCAGCATCCTAAACATTTCATCTTGTATCTTCCGTCGATTTTTACTTATAATATCAAATTCTATCACACCAGGTACAAGCTATGCGTTGAAGGCGACGGTCTCCGCGAGGTGATGGCAACATACGGTATCGACGGTCGGCGGACGACCTCTAATAACATATTGGAAGTATTCCACACTCTTGGCATAGAAGCAGCGGCTGGTACCATCATGAGTGAAGTGGAGGCTGTGATGGCGGGTCACGGAATGGCTGTGGACATGAGGCACGTGGCGCTGCTGGCCGCGCAGATGTGTGCGCGCGGGGAGGTGCTAGGGATCACACGGTACGGACTCGCTAGGATGAAGGAGTCCGTGCTTAATCTGGCCAGTGTGAGTACTATATGTGGATATAAAGTAAAATACCGAGTAGAGGATTGTAATATACCAAATTCGAGCTACGATGATCTGAAAATATCTGTTTAATGTATATATGTATGTATGTGAATAATTCGTAAAATTACATAAATTATTAGCTGCCACAGAATATCAGCGTTGAAACTCATTACTACAATTATTTTCAACATATATGCTGAGTGGCTTACCAATTTGGGCATCACAAATTGTTTTGTTTAATTTTTGTTTGTATTCTTTATCTTCATATGTTTGTTTTATATATATATGTGTTCTTATAGTGTTTGCATAAGATTTGTTTCCAAATAATTTTTTTTGATTTTAATTTGATTTGATAAATGTATACGCGTTTTGGAAACAAATCTTAGTATAACTTTGTGAGAATGATATTTCAAGGCTAAATTACTCATTGATAATATTCTGATTATTATACAGCTGTACCTATAATTCCAATTCAAATTTTTCCATCAGTTTGAGAAGACAGCCGACCACTTGTTCGACGCGGCGTACTACGGCCAGAGGGATCGTATAGAGGGAGTGTCAGAGTGCATCATCCTAGGAGTGCCGGCCGGCATCGGAACTGGGGTGCTGCAGCTGCTGCACAAACATGACCACATGACGTCACAGCAACAGCACAAGTTGCTGTTCGACGACCCCAAATATCATTCCTCAATATGGGAATAAACATCCGAAATCTATGTTAGTTTGTATATTGTTGTAACATCCCAGACACGTAGCGTGAGTCTGGGAGAGTTCAAAAATCGTTTTTTTAATTATTCAATTTAGAAAAAAAAATTTAATATTTAAGCAGAAACTGACTGTAGTAAATGTTTTAAACATAATAACACCAAGATGAAGCTGGAATGTATAACAGTGACCAACAGCAATCAAATATTAAAAAATTAATTATAATTTATCTAGCACGAAATGTGTTTCCAATTGTAACATTATAAAAAATCTGCCGTAAGATAGATGGAAGACGCGTATGGGCTGTATTTAGTGTGGCAACGTCGCTATATGTAAATGTACAGAGAATCTATGATCAATGGCCATAGCTAAACTTTCCCGAGCTCCCCCCACATTTAAATAACGGAAAAGGAATGTATCGTTTGTATATATAATAATAAAAATATTTAATAAACTTTGTTTTATTTATACTAACAATTAATACTACAAACAAATAACACTACGAGGTAAGTAAATGCACAATAGTTGATGTCTAAGTCGCCGCTAGCGCCGCCAAGTGTTCGTCGAGCTTGGTCCACTTATGACTGACCTTCCACATCCACATCGCCAGCTCGTAGTTCTGGGCTAATTCTGATGGGTTTGTCTTTTTCATGTCCCTTAACAAATAATATTTTTTATAATATAAAGTTTTAATATGGCATAAATAAGTAATGTTTTATAATAAACAAAGTTTGCCTTATTTGGGTATGGACCCAAATGTATGGACATTAGAGAGGTGAACACAAAATAATGGGGGAACTCTATAAAATCCAATCAAATCTCATTTAAACGAGAGGCGATCGTGAGTGTATGTATGTGTTATAAAATTTTAGAAAAACGTAAGAAATAATGCAATATCATGTAAGAAAGCAGTTTTGCCATCTGATAAATCAAATCAAGAAGTCAGAAGTCCCAATAAAAAAAATCAACTTGTAGAGATACCTCGCGTTTGTGTATCCTACTAATATTATAATTGCGAAAGTTTGTGAGTGTGTGTATGTTTGTTACTTCTTCACGCTCAAACGGCTGAACCTATTTTGATAAAAATTTTGTATACTAGAAGCTGACGTCCAGGAATAACACATAGGCTACTTTACATCCCGGAAATCCGCGAAGCGCAGCTAGTTAATCATATGTTTGATATGTCAAGACATGTTACATACACATAGTAGTCCCCCGCGGCGCCCTCCAGCGCGGGGTCGAGGGCCGCGTGCAGGATGACCTGTGCGCCGGTCATGGCTCGCTTCATGACGGGCCAGAACAGCGGGTACAGCAGGAACCTCGTGATGCTCTTCATCATGGCCATGTTGCGAGTGAGCTCCGTGTCCGTGAAGCCCGGGTCCACGGCTATCACCGACACGCCCGTGTCTGACAATTTATTTATTTATTTAAGATCCACCAGTGATAATAACATTAATACAATATTGGGTAAAAAGAAATATAGTGTAGCTTAAAGCATGCAATATGAATATAGATATAGAATAATAGAAATATAAATGATATAATTGTCTTAGAATGTCTTACTTAAAGTATGTCGTTACGAAATTATTTGTGGGTTTAAAAAATACTTCCAGATTATTATTTTTGTTTTATCACGAGGCCGTTTTTCTTATCTAAGAATTTGTCTTGTTCTGAAATTATTTTTAACTCTCTATATTTATAGTTGGTTTTCTTTTAAACTAATGTGATTCCCTTTTTTAAAGTGACATACTTAGCATCCGCCTCCCGAGTTCTCTCGCGAACAGCACGTTAGCCAGTTTGCTCTGGTTGTAGGCGGCCGCGGGGTCGTACTTGGCGCTCATGTTGAGATCCTCTTTATGAATCTGACCCTTACTGTGTGCGCTGCACGTCACCAGTATGACGCGGCTTGGGGCCGATTTCTGGAGTGAGGCGTTTATTTATTAATATTATAGAATATTGGGAATTAAAGAAAAGAATATTCAAAAGTAGTCAAGAAAGGAATCGAATACATTTAAAGTCCTTTTTTTTAGTTTCGACTTGTCTGTAGCTGTTAACCTTTGACTGCGTCACCGGGGTGGTCCAATGGGACTTACCCGTTAAATTCGGGCTTAAAGGAAAATTCAGTGGTAACAAGAAATAGAACTGAAAACTTGGATTAAATCGTTAATTCGTGTGAAGTTTGTCATATTATTACCTTAAGTGTATCTAGTAGTAGGTTGGTGAGTAGGAAGTGTCCCATGTGGTTGACTCCTAAGTGTGTCTCAAATCCGTCCAGTGTGACCCTGGTCGGCGCCTCCATCACCCCCGCGTTGTTCACCAGCACGTCTACGTATGGCTCCTCTTTCTTGAACCTGATGATAAATATGTGAAATAGATAAAAATAAAATATGTAAAAATAAAATAATAGGAACAATAATAAGTAAATAAAGAACAGCTTAAACGTACCCTTCTGCTCCCACGATTTAAAAAATAGAAATAAGATAGTATAAAAATAGAAGAATACACTAAGATAGTTAATGGGTATAACCAGGGAATGAAAGAGAGGAATAAAAGAAAGACATAGAATGAGGAATGAACGGCCCTAGCAAATGCGAGAACTGGTATGAACGTGTGAATTGTAGATAAAGACTCTGACCAAGTCAGAGGGACTAGATTTAAAAATTAAAAAAAATGATAAATATGTAATGTCACTACAATCATCTGGGATAAATTTTGTTATAAGGTTTTAAGGTATTGTAAATTGAAACCAACACATCCAAGGCTTCAACTAAAGTTTTGTTTAAAAAAGTGTGACCTTACAATTGCTCTTTTTATTTTTATCCGTAACTTTAAAGCAAAAAAATTATCAAATCAAGTCTCCAGTAAATAATTGGTAAGTTCTATATCTAAAAGTTAAGAAGTGATCACAAAAATATGTTGGCCAAAGTTTATAATCCGTTTTTAACAATATGTACAATGCGAAGCAACAAAAAACGCCTCGGTTCCTGAAGTTATTACACAAGAGACCATAAACAGAAGTAAATTCTTAGATACCTTTCTACGAAGGCTCGTATGGAGGCAGTACTAGCGAGGTCACACGGCCGACAGTACACGTACTTGTTGCCAGTGTCCAACACTATCTCCCGGCGGACCTCCTCGCACTTCTTCATGTCACGGCACGCCATGAACACCTTTTGAGGAATTGAAGAAGATATCGAATTGTACCATCATGTCTGACAAACTGATTATGAACCACACAAATAAGTGTATTCTGAGAAATAACTAGATTATTAAGCCTAGCTAAGTCTAGGATTTTTACTATCAATTTTAATCCAACATAAAACAATACAGCTTTCCTTAAATACACATAGGTATGGAAGGAAACACGCAACACTGTGTATGATCTTGTTGTTCACACTTAATCAAAGATTCAAAAGTTGACGAGGTTCATTTATCTAAATGTCCTACGGATATAGGCTGTCCAACAACTATTCATGTTTTTAATAATCATAAATATTGCCAAGCAGTAGGAAATAAAAAGTTTTTAAATTAATAATCTACTGAATATCAAAAATATGTACCGAATTACATCTTCACATAAGTTTCAGGAACTCAACCATAGGTTGATCATTAATTTATTGTTATTGATTGAGTTCGCTTATATATATAGACGCACTTACCTTGGCCCCACGTTTAGCAAAGTCAAAAGCAGCTTTACTGCCGATGCCACTGGTGGCGCCCGTCACTATCACCGTCTTGCCATTAGCTAGTACTTTTTTATCGAAAGCAGGCCCACCGTACACGTCCCTTGAAAATGTATATATTATAGAACAAAAATATAAAACTAGATTTTTCTCCTGACTTACTTTATACTGTTATTCGTCAACATTTTTGCAGATCCATTAAACTATGTATTCTTCAATAAAGAGGTCTAAAAACTTAGAAAGAAAGTTCTAAACCAATAGTAAGAATTATGTCAAATTTCGGAATCCTATTTTGAAGACTGAACAAACATTATTATGTTTATATATATAACAGGATGTATTTACAGATTACAGCAGATACTTACTTAAATATACAGAGGACGCCCGCGCCTGCTGCGAGCCCGGTGAGGACAGTCACCGGCAAATTGGGCACCCACATGCTAATGAACGGAGAATGAAATATTAAATAAGTTGATCGAATCTATTTACAGAATCAGTTCCTAATTAATACAATTACTATTTTTAAGTTGAATATAATCAACAAATAAGAAAAAAGTTGTTCGTAGTGTTCTAATTTTCTGCGAGACAAGTGGAAAATTTATTTCTTAATAAATTTAGAAGTACTGTTCGAAGGATCAACTTGGTTTTAGTGAGAGGAAATAGAATTATTTATGTTTCTCTTGACGTCAGTTTTTACCAAAGAACGAGTCTACTATGAAACGTACAGCAAAATGGTTAAAGGCGGATTAGAAAACCCGTCAAAGCAAATTATTTAAAAGGTGCTAAAAAGGATAAGATATGCTGTAAATCTTAATCGGAGTGTAATAAGAAGTGATGGGCATAGTTTCATTTGTTTTTAGAACATAAGTGATTTATATATGAATGTATATACTGTAAATAAACCAAAATAACATTTGTAACAACTTTTTAATGTATGTCTGTTTGTTTCGGTTAATCTGCAATGGCTGGACCGATTTTACCTGGACTTTAATTTTCAAGCAGCTGATGTAATAAGTAGTGACTAAGACTACTTTTTATTCAGATCTTGGAATTAAGTTTTATCACGCGCGAGTGAGAGGGGCAACGCTTAAAAGTTTTAAAATTTTTTTTAAGTAGACGGAGTTGCGGGTAACAGCTAGTATTCAATATATAATTGATTTTAGAAAGGATGAGCGGATTTATATATTTGGAGTCCTTCGCAATAGTTACTCTTTCTGCAATGATAACCCCCTACTACATAACAAAATTACACCCACTTATTAATAACCCTTCGACAGGAAAAGACGCTGGTGCCTGGTGGAACACTAAAGAAATTTAAACGGCCTTCAAACCTTATTCCAATATAACTTGTATTCCTCAAATATTATTTGTATGTAGGTGATAAATATTTCAATATAAAATATAAGGGTAATAAAAAACATCCAATTTAGTACATATTAAGTTTTATTTCGTTCTTTTATTCACCTTATTTATAATCTCTGTGCGATCTAAATAAAATTTATACAATAAAGAACATGAAACAGGTGACGTTAATGTTAAAAAATTAATAACATACGAAGCAGGTACAGATGTAGGTTAACTGGCAAGTACAGGTCGCTAGGAACCTTATAATGGCAATATTAAATCTCGTACCAATAAAAACACTATATCTATTTCAGTCAAACGGGAAGATATTGTTATTATTATGAAACAATGAATTAGACACGTAAATAATGTTACATTAACACTTATTGTCGTACACGGCTGTATCAGATCAATTTTGTTCAAATTCTTTATAATTATAGAATCTAAATGTTTTTTTCAGATGAATATACTAATGTACTAATTTTTACATTTATTTGTATCTATGGCAACATAATGTTGTTCTAATTATTATTATTATTTCTTATTGACATTTGACAGTATTGATATTTGACATGATTTGAGCAGTTATAGATTTTAAAATGACTAGATTAGATTGAAAATAAAGAAATAATTCACATTGCATGAATTGCAATGAAATATTCTTAGTATGACCAATATCCAAATGATATTGATAATGTAAGCTTGTTTTATAATATAAAACATATATATATATATTAATCTTGTATATAATATACTGATGAGATTCAAAACTCGGGATTACATACATTAATAAGGTACTTTGTCATTTGCTCCCTTTAGGTTTAATCTACGGTTGTGTTAATTCTAAACCTATAACTAAATGTATTAAAATTTGTTTTTTATATGTAAACTTAATTCATTTATAGAATCTTTAATGTTCACACTTCAATCTTCAGTCAGTTACATGAAGATGTATTTAGAACAACAATATTGTTATGTACTTATTCGTACATACATCATGTGTTTTTAACAAAATCATAATACTTTTCAGGTTTTTTTATAATAATTTTATGTGAAAATTGTGCATTATAAGAGACGTGGCTTATATACAATATGTGGTAAAGCGTAATTTGTTGTTATACTAATGATTTTGAGATCTATTAACTACATCATGGCTATATGTAGCTCAATGGTTTGTCTAAGAATGGTGCAATAGCCCCTTCTAAAATTGAGTTGGTGTAATATTTAGGCTTTACTTATATATCTATAATCTGCGTTCTAAACGCTCCGTGTATATTGCTCTGTTAAGCGTAAAATAGATATGGTTTAAACTCTGACTAGTCGTTAACACAGTGTGTTCTTAAGACTAACAGCTATAAAGGCTGAAATTAACTGGGTTTGATGTTGAGAGTGCTTGTGCTCTTTGATTTTGAGGAGTCACAGGATGGGAGTGGTCTAGCGATGCCGACTCGTACAACTCCCCTCGGAGCTCCTTTCAAAGCCTGAACCGCTTGGTCCAGGGTAGCATTCTTGATACTTGATCCGTTAACAGACATCACTCTATCTCCAGGTGATATTTGACCATCTTTTTCTGCCACACCTCCAGGGACTAAACTCCGAACTACAATAACGGTACCATTAGGATCAATAGGGTCTTGGTAGTCTAGTATAGAAAATCCAAGCCCTTGATCTCCCTTCACCAGCTCTACGATGTCTTCTTTACTCTGCCACATGGCTAGGCCTGACACACACTCTAGAGATTTAGACTTCTTTGATTGATTAGACTGGTTAGTGAGTGTTGCGGTACTAGATGTATTGATGGATGTATCTGATTGAGCTTTGACGATAGTAGTCAAATTATTTAAGCTACCAGATATGATCTTTCGTGCTTCAAAGCCTTCTCGATCTTGAGATAGGTTGACAACAGGCCGAGGTCCACTGTCTGTGCTACTTCTTGCACAAACAAGGCGTACCCTATTTGGGAGTTGCTTTAGTATATTAACCACTTCAGTGTGTGTAAGTCCGTGTAACCTGTGTTCGTTTACTTCGAGAAGTTCATCACCTGCTGCAAGTGTGCCTTGTTGTCCAATGGGGCCTTCTGGCAGAACAGATCTGATATAGTGGTGAGGTCTCACTTCCTGGCCTCCCTCAACATCAACAGTTCCTTCTAAACTGATTCCTAAGCCCGATAGTTTATGAACCTCTGCCACAATAATATCTTTGCCAGGACCAATCTCTTCTTCCCACCTACTTTTTATTTCCTCTTCACTTACAGCTAGAATTGCATCAAATTTTGCATCTAATTCTTCCTGGGTAGGATCATTGGTGTCACATTCACCAACCTCTAAGACACCAGAATCTATAGTAGTATTTGATTCAGGTTCGGGCTCGATTTCTGTAGTACTGATATCTTCTGCTTGGGAAGGCACTGGGAACCAGGTCAGGGTAGTAGCAGAAGGAGAAGGTGAAGCAGGTCGTTCTTCATTAAATATAGCTAGTTGTAAGTGCTCATACTTTGGACCTCTCAAATACCTTTCTAAAACTAAATGCACTGATATACCAGTATTTCTTAATATCTCCACAGCCTGAGGATTACTTTTATCTGCTAGAGAGACACCATCAACCTCAATAATTCTATCATTTAACCTTATCTGACCACTCTGTTCAGCACTGCTACCTTCAATTATACTTTTAACAAAGATTCCAGATAGTTCTTCTTTTTCACACACATATCCAGCCACTGTTATACCTAAACCATACACATTCTTATTTAAGTCCACATGAACTATTTCCACTTCTGGAGGTGTCGGTAACTCCACTGGGACTGTTATCGTTATTGTTGGGGAAAGAGTATCAGCAACAATTGGGTGGTCTGGAATCTGTTGAGGATTTTCACCAATAACACTGACCGCTGCCACTAAGGCTAAATTTTCAATCTCTACATTTTGTCCATTGATGTAGTCACTGTAACACTGAGATAAATCATAGACTGCTCCGTAACCTGCTTCGATGAGGTGACGATCGAGTAGTTCGGGATCAGCTAAGAGTTTAGTGGGTACGAGTGCAGTGCCAGGAATTGGAGCTCGGAGGGCCGCGGCGGGATCTGCAGGCCGCGCCACCAACAGGCGCACTGTAGGGCCCGTCTGACGCAGCACTGCGGCTACCTGCTCCGACGTGAAGCCACGAAGGTTAATCGAACCAACTTGAAGTACGTGATCGCCACTCTGCAGTCGTCCGTCCTTGTCAGCGATTCCACCAGGAAGCACGTATTTAATCACGACACCCGTGCTACGTCCCCCCACTAGGTTAAACCCTAAACCATTCCCGTCGTTCGTAAGCTCAACCACTTCCACCTGCGCCCACTCCGTGCTCAGCACCATCGTCTTCCTAACCATCGGAGCCTCTGAATGTTACGTGACGCGTACGACAAGGTTATAAACGCTTGAAATACACATCGCGGTATTAACTAAACTGCTACTTTTTACCTTTACTTATAAATTATATAGAAAGTAAAGTATTGAGGATAATATAAAAATGTTGCAAATTTCGTAAAAAAATGACATTTACATACTTGCTGAATAGTAGACAGCGAGAATGTGGCCAGCTCCCGACAGGTGTGCCCGATGAATAATTTATTCCAGACAAATGTCAGATAGTTTTCCGATATATATTATTTTAAAATTTTAAAAATACTTAGAGACATAAATAATACTTATATTTTGAAATGAAATATTCAATGTTAAAGCTATTTACTAATTTAATTTCTGTTTATTATTACTTGTGACATCTATAACTACAAAAATTGAATTAATTGCTGCAACATGGGACTTAATTTTATTAAAAATTGTAAAGTTTTCAATATAAGTTATAAAAAACTAATACAGAGTATTTTTTTTATTCAGTTTGTATCTTAACCATTTGTTATAAGTTTTGCTACTTATTCATAGGTGGCACTGTTAATTATTTCATTTACTGAAAAATACCATATTTTATCACTAGGTGTCGCTAAAATATTTTTTTTTTTGTATATATGTACATTATATTCATTTCTTGTTACTATTTTTTAATTCCCATGTTTGAAATAAAAATGAAAATGTGGAAACTGTTAAGTATGTAAGTTTGTTGTAGACATGAAGTTTCCCATTCCTTAAAATGAAAATTAATATATAATGTAGGGTTTCTATATAAAATACTTCTACACAAAGAACTTTTTTGGTAGAAAAATAAATGAGATTTAAGTTATAGTTACATTGACAATAAAATAATGCAGGTGTAAAATTTATATAGACCAGTGACGATCGAGACAATCGAGATAACTCATTTTTTACCCTTAAATACCCAACCCTCATACCCTTCCCGACCTCAGATCGCCCGTAAATCATTTTTCCTTTAATTTTTATAATATTCCCCTCCTTTTCTAATGAGTTTCTTTCTACTATAATTTATTTTCACTTTTCATTGTTTTGAAAGGCATCTGCACTGGGGTAATATAGTAACGATATTTTACTTTTTATCTTAATTAATAATTTGAATTTGGATGATTCTTTACATTTTTTTTTCAAATTTTCAAATGAAGTAAGAATAGGTACTCAGTTTAACTTTAGTATGAGCGTGTTCGGGTCACACGAACAGCAGTCGCCCTTACTCCTTGGCGGCTTTAAAACAAAAGAGTCATTTTTAAATTAATGTGAGAATAAGTTTGACGAGTAGGTATACCTACTCATGGATATCACTGTAATTTGTTAATTATTGTATGCCTGAAGTCTATATCCTATAGGTGTGGAGTACGTAGGAGTTTAACCTGTACCCGCTGCATGTCCCTAACGCTAAGATCAAGAAGGGTGAACTGGAAGTATGCGAATACGACAGAAGCGAACCCTAGCCTACTCGATGGATCACAATGTATAGACTTTCAACACACTAAGCTGCTTTTTCTAAAGCACTTTATTATCTTTATATATATAATTCTTCTGTGAGTGTGTATGTCACTGAACTTCTCTCAAATGACTGGACCGATTTTGATGTTTTTTTTTGTGTGTGTTCAAGGGGATCTAGGAATGGTTTAGATTCACAATTTTGTCCGCTGGACAATGTTTTTTTAATTAATTTTTAATTTATTAGTAGTTGTTGATACAAACGTTTTTTTTGACATTAGATTTGACAACTAACTAATATGGCAATCATTCTGTCGCACTTCAAAACACGGAGATTTAGACCTTTAATAGGTAAACTCCAAAAATATAAATAAAAAACGTAACAGATATTTACTGATTATAGGTCTTCCATATATTTATATAGAAGATTCTTCTATATATTTATATTCATATATCTGGTTTCCGAGCTTTCCTCGGTATTTAAGAATTATTAGTAGGTACTTATTTTGTGTTTTTTTTTAATTTCTTTTAGGCATTTTTAAGTGAACACGTTAACAAGACACAAAACAATATAAGGATGAATATACGCTATTTTGTTTTTTCGTGTCCCAGAAGGAAATGTTATCGGTTTCATTCAAAATTTATAATTTATTTATTCGACACTATTTTAAAATTAGTAATCGCAGGGGACACACGATTATTATTTTTTTTTTTTATTTTATAAGCACTAGAGGGAAATGTGTTACCAGAGTAGTAACAAATAAAAGCAGGGTATTGTCATACCATTGATTATTATTAGCTGAGAAAGTTGATAAAATACAAATATATATATATGCTTACCAAAGCAAATACTCCAACGACTGGCATAAATTTACTTTCAGAAAGTTTATTGAAAACTGATCCAATTTTTTTTATTATTTTGCTCTAACTATTTAGCTTGCCTCTAATTTGAAACTGTTTTTCGCCCCTTCTTTAAGATCAAAAGCACAAAGTTGTGATTTTTAATATTTTTTTAAGTCGTTGAATTCGGCCAGATGAAGTGACAGAATTGTAACATGACTCGAAAATAAGTTATATCTATTATTTTATACTAGCTTTTGCCGCGACTTCGTCTGCGTGGAATAGTGACTTCCGGCAGATTCTTCCCACATAGTTCCCGTAGAATTTTCAGGATAAAACCTATGTTTTTTTTATTCACAATGAAGTACTCTTAACCAACAACATATTTATTTGTTTATTTGAATAAAGATTATTCAAATAACACATCGACACATATACTAATGGACATGTCGTACGCGTATAATCTGCAGTATTTTTTTGGTTTGAAAAGAGTGAGAGAGATGGCCTATGCTTTCGGTCTAGCACTATGTCTTTCCTCATAGATGATTGGCGCTCAGTTTTCATGACAAGCACGGCATATAAATTATCCAGAAGGGGCTCATAACGTCTTAAGTACGATACTATTTTGAGAGAGATAAAGATAGACCGAAACTTCGTTTTTTCTCTTTCTTTCGGAGTGACACAATTCTCATCTCTAAGGCATGTCCATTTGTATATGTTGATGTTCACCCTTATATTGTTTTGTCTTCTTAACGTGTTCACTTAAAAATGCCTAAACGAAATTAAAAAAAAAAACACACAAAATAAATACTAATTATTCCTATATATATATATATATATATATAATGAGCAATTCTTGTATATATATATATATATATATACAAGAATTGCTCATTTAAATATATGAGATATGTACATTTAGTATAAAGTAAAGGTGACGTCTGTTTTACAAATACTAAAACTTTGTACATATATTAAACAATGTGAACAAAGCCGAGGTAAAAATAATTAAGAATATTCATATATTAATTGAATTCAAGTTAATTTAACCCTATTTTCATCTACAGTTACGGAATTGTTATCTATTTATTTTAAAAACTACCTAATTACTTAGCTTTATATTGTTTTACTACAAGTGTGAACACTTTTTTTATAAATAGCTTTTAACTTTAAAGCATGTTCTTTTACTTATTTTAATGTTTCCTGAATAAATTAAATCCCTCAACCGACTCTATGTCGAAAAGTTTTAAAAATATTGTGATCGAATGAAATACGAGTAAGTCGACAGCTTATGGATGGAATCTTCAAAAAGAAATTAGATACGTAAATATGATAATAAACGATTATATTTTCTCAATTTAAGAAACTGTGATGGAAATTATATTGAAGAGAGAGAGAGAAGCTTTCTTCTCATTTCATTGAACCATTTCCATTTCATCATCATCAGCCTATCAGAGCCCACTGCTGAACAAAGACCTCTTCTCACATGGAGAAGATTTGAGCATTAACCACCACGCTTGCTCTAGACTGGTTGGTGATTTCAAACTTATAATTTATAATTATAAGTCCAGGTTTCCTCAATGTTTTCCTTCACCGTCTGTCAGTTGTGCCTGAATACTCTTTGAAAGTAAGTACTATATGACTCGGAAAAATCACATTGGTACTTGCGAGTATCGAACCCGCGCCCTCATGCTCGTTAGGCGGGCCTTTAACCACTAGGCCACCACGACCTTATACCTTTCTTTACATCAATTCAAATAAAATGACGTAATCAGTATATTTCAAGCATGTCTAAGAATCATATATATTATCAATCAAAATTACATTGAACTGAAAGAGTTATGTGACCAAATGTGAACAGTTGAAGGGAATGGCGGGGCAAGACCTAAATTTGATGTGGGCAAGACAGATTTCGCGAGGCCCTTTCTATGGCAACTTGAACCTCTTACTACCTGCTAGTTTTAAATACTTTTACCCTTAAAGCTTTGGTTTCCTTTAACAGATATTATAAAGCGTATTTTATAGACAAATAATTACTGCGTTACGTACTTATCACCAATTAAATATTTGTTATTTTATGTAAAATAGACGAGTACCTTCAGGTACCGGTGTATTACAAATCGCAAAGAAAATAAAAACAAATAAAAAACGTCACTGTTTTCGGGGGCAATCAATATACTTAAACACTATCTATTTATTCGCTAAATATTATTAAAACATTGAACACACTATTCTTATTAACATAGGTTTAATTATTTCTGATTCCCAAAGAGGGTTGATGTCAGGCAGGCGGCCGGTCGTAAAAACAATTAGCCAAAACTATTCACAACATGTAAGGCAAACCCTGGCTAAAGCAGGGAAATTGCCAGGAGAAAGAAGAAGAAGAAGATATTTTTTTTTAATTCTCGCTTTACAAATTTTTAAAGCTGATATAAGAGTTTTTTTGATATAATAAAATGTCTGTTTTAAAACATTATTTAATTTACTTATATTATTTTATTTTGGAAAAATCATCAGATTTCTCAATAATTTACAAATAAATAGAAAAAATTTAATGTCCTAATAAAAATTAAATAACCTACTCCTTATCTGTTTTCAAAAATAATTGCAAAAAAACGTAATTCCTAAAAATACCCACCATGAGATATGATTCCATTCGCTTCCTTTAATATTGTATAATTATATTATATATGTTTGTTCGTTTGTTACTCAAACACTCTAAAGCCATCCAGAATATTTGAATGAGACTTTGTATGTAAAGGAAAGTCAGGAGTTGGCGGTTGATGGAAATGTGGTAAACTTCATGTCTTATTAATAAATTAACATCTAATATAATGAGATTGATAATTTGGCAGAATAATTATAATGATTATTATTATTAACAGAAATTTATTGTTTTTTTTTTGTTTATTGTAAATAAAATAAAGTAAAGTAAAAAGAGATATCAAACTAACGGATATATATTTAAAAATATTATTTGTTAATTTAAATTTAAAATCTGCCATGATATCCCTAATTTTGAAAATTGATAAACTGTATAGGTACTTGAAAAACACAAAAAATAAGATTGATTCAAAAACAAACACATTAATTATTATTAATTAGGTAGATACCTACCAGATTTGAAATGTTTAATATAAAATTTTGATAGAGTTACAAGTGGCTTCATCTGTGACATACCTCATATAATATATGTACCATAATTAATCCTTACAATTATTTTTATGTCTGACCAGCTTTCCGCCCGCAGCTTCGCCCGCGTGGAGTTCGGTTATATCGCGTTCCCAAGAGAACCTTTCAAAAGTCTGGGATAAAACCTATCCTATGCTCTTTTTCAAGGTCAAATCTATGTCTGTACCAAATTTAATTAAAATCAGTTCAGCGGTTTGGGCGTGAAAATGTAACAGACAGACAGACAGACAGACAGTGTTACTTTCGCATTTATAATATTAGTAGGGATTATAATTAATAATAATACTGAATCATTGTAATGTTGTATGTGATATTTAATTATCAACATTTATTTCTAAACTGTAACTGGCTTAAACCATTTTGTAACACATTACTGGAAGTAACGCTGAAAATTAAAAATCAAGTCTGAAACTATATTTCAAACAATAGCTAGTTGTATTCTTACTATAAGTCACAATCGTCACGTTACTAACATACGTAGCGTTAAAAGTTTGTCAATTTTAATTTTTGCTTATATAGTATTAATCAATTTTATTAAACAAAAAACGGGAAAAGCTTCGTACGTGAGGACGAGAAACTTGTGTTAAGCGTATTGGTATAATTTAAAGTAGATTTGAGTAATCTTATATTAAGGAATAAACGGCAAATAAGAGACAAGATTATCAATATTATAGCATTTATTATACAATTCATTATATACATTACATTGTTATAAAGTTTCGTCACGTTAGTGTCATAAAAATAGTCATTCTCAATAACAATTTATTTTAAATCTCGACTGAATATGTACTGATTTGATGATATCACGATGTTTAAATAAAAAAATATTGACTGAGTTGTATTTTAAACAATTATAACACCAACACTTCTTTAAGTAATGACTATTTTTACTATTTAATATCTGAAAAACTAAGTTCCTCTATGTTGTCAAGTCACTGAAACCGATTTAACGAGAGACATTTAAATGTTCACTTTTAATGTACATCGCTTGCTCTATAAAGGTATATAATGTTATATACACATACAAAACATATATTATATGTTCCTGATGTTATCATTAACGAGTATCACTGTGTGTTAGCTCACTTCACTTATGATCGACTCTACCGCGGCTCCTAACACTATCAGTTACGAATAAATCCGAAGTAGGTACACGTGTGTGTTAAACGGACTTAAACGACGGAGATACACTTATACAACTATCACGATAAATAAAAATACTCACTAAAGTTCATGAAACGTAACACTGACAAGATTCGCTACAGTTAAACGATCTTAAGACGAAGATCAGAACATGAGAACAGTTGTATATAAGGAGTGTGAGTCCGGCGGTCACTAGCGGGCGGTCGGCCGGAGACTGGCGGCCGGACCCTGGGGCCGCCGGGCCGGGGGGAGCCGGGCCGCCGGGCCGGGGCCGCGGGCCGCAGGGCCGCGGGCCGCAGGGCCGCCGGGCCGCGCCAATCGGCTGGCAGGCACTCCCAGGGGCGGGCCGAGGGGCGGAGCCACCTCAGCGCCGCGGCCCGCGCCTCGGGGGCTCGCGCCACTCTCGCCCCGAGAGCCACTAGAGGCTGAGCCGTCGAGTGGCCCCGAGTGTACCGGTCGGATGTCCGCGGAGGGCGGCGGCTACTCGCCGTGTCCGGCGGAGGCGCTGCCGGAGCTGAGCGCTGCCGAGCTGGCGATGAGCCTGTCGCCCAAGTCGGCCTTGCTGCAGCAGAACCTGTCGCAGCTGCAGCTGCAGCACTCCACGCCCTTCTCCGTCACCGACATCCTGTCGCCCATCGAGGAGTACCGCAAGCTGGAGCTGGCCAACAACCCGCCGTCGCCGTACAGGTGCGTGCATCGATCGCCCCACACCTCCTCCCCCCGCGCCCGGCGCCCCCGCCCCGCTCTCCCCGGTGAGCCCCCCGCGGGCCCCCGGTCCCCCGCGGCCCGGAGTGTCCCCGAAGGTCTGGAGAGTGCTCGTCGAGTGCTCGCTCGTCGTCGCAGGATATAGTTGGGTGTCGTTTGTTTGTGCAGGTAGGGTATGCCGTGGTCCGGGGCGGCCGAGGTCCCCCGCGGCCGGTGTGAGTGTCCGCGTGTTCTTCTCCTCGCTCGTTCGTATATTCCTCTGTATAGTAAAGTGTGAGGACCTCGTGCCGCGATGCCCGCCGGAGGACGAGGGTCCCTCTGAGCCTCAAGATGCCTCTCGAGACCTATATGCATATGTATGTATGTTCGGATAATACTTACTCCTACACGACTTAGACATCTCAGCCTTATATACCGACCATATATGTATATAAGCCACAGTGACTTAACACGGAACATGCCACGATCAAAACATGGGAATATTTAATTTAAATATTCTTTAAAAACTTACGACTTGAATGCTGCTAGATCAGTCATAGACATAAACAAACAAACAAAAAATATTTCGGTTTTGACTGACTGTTGATACAAAGTTACTGAACATAGTGAAGTTAAATAATTAAACATATGAAGTGAATTTAAACATTAATACAAGTGTTAGAGGACGGTTCGGGTTCATAACTACCTAATTATTTTTCAATTTATAAACGAAACATACGAAAATATTACGAAATAATAATATTACGATACATACGAATATATGCCAGATACGTGTTCATTTAAATAATTTGAAATTAATAAAAAAAAATAAATAAATTTATTATTAGTTATAAAAAGTCATATTTAAACTTGATAATATTATAAAGAAAAACTTGTTTAATAACAATACATATTAAAAAAAAAATTACAAAATTAGCGAATTCAATTAAAATTGTCAAAAAAACATTAAAACCATTTATAATTCAATTGACGTGAATAAATTAATTTTTATTAAATAAATACCAACGTATACAAACATACAATTATAATTTTAAATTATATTTATTTTGTACATCTATACAAAAGTTAAATGAACATTATTTAACCAAACTGACGGACATCAAAAAAATCTCAATGTAATGATGACATTTGAAACATTGAATACTTTATAGAAACCAATAGTGAGGCGTTCAGAAACTTTGATTTTCATTATTTTTGTGCATCATTTTCATTAAGACTATATACGTTCAAAAACTATAATAACTTTTAACTTCAAATAAATTTTCATGATAAATATTCGTTTAAAAAATACGGAATTTTGTTTTTTGTAAATAAGGAAGACTTCATATTTTTAATTTAAATCAATCGTTAAACTTTTTCATTATTACTATAATGCTTTTTTTTTTCAAAACGCTATTTTAGCTCACGGATCGAACAGTTTCAGATTTTAATTTATTACAACAGGATAATAATATTTGAATAAAAATAAATTGATTTCTAACATATCATATAGCTTTAATCTTAAATTGCAAAATGCATATATGTATAAACAAGGAAGTATATACAAATTGGCGCCTTTATCTACATAATATTAAGTTTCCGTGAGAAACATACTATACGTATATGAAGTTTGATAGATATTAATTCTTATATTTATATTACCTACTGTTCATTTATAGTTATTTAACTTCAATTATAAACGATGATAAACAACTTTTGAGTCTGTCTGTCACGTAAGTCGTAACTTGAGGTTATTTTTATAGAATATGTATAAAGAGTTAGCATACATTTTATAATGTGATGAATCTTTTGGTGTTAAACTGTCAAATGCATTATGAATAAAATTAAATCCGTCGCTCTATGATAGAATATATTTTAATGCGTAGAGACTTAACAAGAAATTCATTTAAGAAATGAAAAGGTTTTAATATATTAAAAAAACTAATGTTTTATTGACTGATTAATATTTTAATCCAACTTAGGTACTTATGTATAACATATAGGTATATATTTTCGGAATTGTTTTAACGAATGCTGTAACTAATATCTTTTTTTCTTTAATTGATAAGGAGTGATACTAACAAACTTTAATGTCTGATATTTTTTTAATGAAACCAATTCGCAGGCAATAGTTCAATATGTTCGTTTTACATAATTATTCGTTTTAATTATCTATTAGCAAGTATTGCGTCAACCAAAGTGTATTCCACACTTTTGGTTGTATGAGAAATAGAAAACCTAATTCTGTTGTAGGTAGATAAATAGATGAAATGCTATATACGTTTTGTTTTACAAGTAACAATACCTATAACTAGTTTCAAGACTAAAAAAACAAAATTACCTATCATCACATAAAATTTATCTTATTAAATAAGAGATATTAATAAGACACAAAGTCAGTGGTGGCTCAGTGGTTAAAGGGCCCGCCTCTCGTCGCCGAGGGCGCGGGTTCAATCCTGGCCCGGGCAAGTACCAATGTGATTTTTCCGAGTCATATGTACTTTCTGAGAGTATTTAGACATCACTGATTAATGTTGATACCCAAAGAGGGTTGATGTCAGGCAGGTGGCCGGTCGTAAAAAACAAATAGCCAAAAACTATTCAAACATGTAAGGCAGACCCTGGCTATAGCTGGGAAATTGCCAGGTAGAAGAAGATTAATAAGACACAAAAGGTTCCTTTTATTCGAAACTTACTAAGTGCTTTCAATTTTTAAAGTTGACTCGTACAAATCAGAATTTATTTTAGGCCTAACTGATATTTACAAAAGGTAAATATAAAAAATTGTAAATAGGTACCACAGTAAAGTACGGTAATACTTGCCACCTTAACTTCTGTATATCATTATATGATCTATCATCTAAGTATAATTTGGAAAATAAAATTTTAAATATACAGTGCGCTTTATGTAAAATTATAATAATAAAATAAATAATATTAAAAAAATATATGTATAAGTAATGTCACCGTAACATTTAGACCTACTTTTACAATCTCTCAAATCGCGAGTTCATAATCCCTACTAATATAATAAATGCGAAAGTAACTCTGTATTTCTGTCTGTCTGTCTGTTACGCTTTCACGCCTAAACCACTGTACTGATTGTAATGAAATTTGGTACAGAGATAGAGTTGACCTTGAGAAAGAACATAGGATAGTTTTTATTACAGACTTTTGGAAGGTTCTCTTGGAAACGCGATATAACCGAACTCCAAGCGGGCGAAAGTTAAAATTGAAAGTCTCCAAAAAGGTTATATTTTAAATTTTAAACTTCAAAACCCTTCTCTCATTACGTAATACAGTGAAAACTAAATATTGATATGTGAATAGTTTTGCATAACACGAACATGTGTTGGAGTGTTTGTCGACACGGAGTCGCGCCTTACGATCTAGTGATTGTCATTTGTTTTAAATCAATAGTTGAATTTAATTGGTGGACCTTGAAACTGGTTTTTGTTGGACGTTCAAATAATAATCATCGTGGCTTTTTGGAGTTTGGATATATGAATTTGGTTGTCATCTATTGATGTACCTAATAAAATTTGAATATCTAAATAAATAGCTAGCAGTTTTTAATAGATAGATTTACGAAGTCAAGACATGAAAAATAGTATATACAAAACCACTTAGATGTATTCTAGATTAGATTATTTTTAACTTCTCTGACAAGATTCACCAAAATGTTTTTATCCTTATGTACCTATTTATCCACGTTTAAAAAAAACGTCACTACAAATGTTGGTAGAATAATACGTACATATTGTTAAATAAAATTTAATACATATACCAAACAAGCATTTTAGTTCTCGTAAAATATAAAAAAAATTTTTGATAATTTCCGATATTATCCATATATAAGTTCAATTTAAATGAACAAAACAAAAAAAAAAATAATTACATCTCCATTATTAACCTTCCCTAAATTAAGCCGTCATTTTAATTTAATATTATAATAATTGGTGATTAAATTAAAACAGACCTAACAGTTTTCGATGTCAGAACTCAATTTGTCAATTCAAACATAGCCCTGGGGTGTTTGGGGTCGGGAATATCATGATATCTATTATTATATGAAATAAAGATTAAAATTGTATGGCAGATTGTAAAGCAAAACATTTTAGTGGCATGAATTGAGTCGGATAGGGCAGTAGCAGATTAAATTGTGTAAATAAGGATTAGTTAGATAAGCTGGGCTTTGTGTCCCGTGACGGCGCCACGTCAAGGTAAAGTAGCGGTAAAATGCGTGTGGCGGATTTGGGTCAAAATAACTGCTATGTTTAAGATAAGGATTTTTTTGTATTACAAAATTACTTAAACTCGTGAATGCTGAATGAAAAGTAATTATAATGTGCAGAGAGTTTATTATTTATATATTTTATTGAGTTTTTTTATCGACTTAACCAGATATTTAGGTAGGTAAGTTGTACAGAGTAATACCTTTGACGTATACCTAAATATGTATATGTACATATATATAATGTTTGATGTAGTCAGTTCATATATGTATAATAATATAACAGGAAAATTGGCGAGAGAAATCTTTTAGAAGTAGAACGTAAATTTAAGGCTTTTTAAAGTAGAATTGATATTATAGAAGTATCTGGTTGTCCTTGATTGTCATATCGTAAATATTAAATATTCGTCATTATTATATTGTGTGGACATTTAGTCAAATATTTATAGGTATAATTTATTTTATATATTTTAGACATTATTCTGTTCATAATTGCGAGAGTATTGAGAAATATTTTTATATTTTTAACGATTTTACGATACTTATGTTATATTATATCTAAATAATGTTTATTTGTGTATTTTTCTCACAGACATATACCTATAATATATTATACAAAAGCACTATACGCATACATTACATATACCTACGTTTTTTGTATGGATTATAATTATATTGAGAAGTTTATTAAATGGGTTGAAGTTATCTCATTGGTTTCTTACCAAAAGGTACATTTAATCCAAGTTAAATAAAGTGTATACAATTTACATTAATTTCCGTTCTTAATTAATACCTGCGATGGACCCGTCACCCGCACGGTGAATCCATGGAATGCTGACTAGATTTCGTCTCTATCTTTTAAGAAACTATTATTCATAGATGTTTTCCACCACTTTGTATACCAACACCATAGTTTCATTTAAACGTTTTCTTTCAAAGGTACTTTACATTTTACTAAAGATACTTAGCGTGGTCTGTGTTGTGACCTCTGTATTTTCATTATACTGTGTATCTATTACCACAACGTGCTCTTATTATTAGGTATAAATACTTCTCGTTGTCTATGTTGTAACCTCTGTGTCTTTATTATTCTGTATGTCTGTGTTGTAACCTCTGTAGTCTTTATTATTCTGTATGTCTGTGCTGTAACCTCTGTGTCTTCATTATTCTATACCTGCAATATTTCAAGTCTTTCCTCTCCCGCCAGGTCCAACTCCTCAGGCAGCAGCATCAACTCGCCCCTGGGGCCCGCGGCGTCCTGCGGGATGGCCGGCAACCCGTACGCGGTGCCGCTGTACGGGGGTGCTCCGGTCCAGGGATACGGCTGCGCCCCCGCGGACCTGCCCCACTACGGGGACATGCGCGGCGCGAGCTGGTACCCCGCCTCCAACGACCCCAGGTTTGCCAGTGAGTCGGCGGATTGATTATTATATACTCAATACATCTTTATATTTTCAGGGAATTTAACATTTATATATGGCAATATTTGCCACATATACCTACTAGAAATACATCTTCCAATATTTTCAGGAAACGTGATATTTGTACATGGCAATAATGCTAATAAGATATGGTACAATTTATATTCATAGGCTTGTCACAGTCCATTGTATCAGTTATCAGAAAGTTTTTTTATTACAGTGTAAACGTGAAAACTTTAGGAAACTAACAAATTCGTAATCCTTTAGTATCTTCACGTAATGTCAAAAAACTGTTGGTTTAGAATTAAATGTATTATTTATAACAAGATGAAAACTACTCAGAATTCTACTTCTACTTCTAGCGCGCAACACTCTCGGTTAATTCACTTTTAATCTATTATACATTTATGTTTAATAAAAAAGATAGATTTTATGACACATGTAAGTAGTATGTACAAGATAAACATGCGTACTTACAGAAATATAAGTATCCTATATGAATGATTACTTTAGGGTTCATCATTACATAGAGTGATAATCTTTGACCTTTGGAAGTTCCGCAGTTCGCGAGATTTAAAATAAGAGAGTTAAAATGAAAATTGTAGGTGTTCTGACTTTTAAAATAGCGGACATTCATTAAATATAATTAGTTATATATAAAAATGAATCCCTTTTTCCCTTGTCACGACATCATCCGTAAATGGCTGGACCGATCACTAATTCTTTTTTATTATATTGGTTATTATCAGGAGAAGGTTCTTATGTAAGAAAAAATGACGATAATAACTATAAAAAAATTACAACAGTATTTCACTTTTTTAATAAAATACTGTGTCACTGGCAGTATGTAATATTCACGTAGTTTCTATTAAATAAAAAAAAAATTTAAACATACATATTTACATGCGAGTATATCGGTCGAAGTTGGTCTGTGGCCAGGGTTATAATAAAAAATAGCTCCAAAATTCATTTAGCACTTCTTAGTATACTTTTCACATTGGTTTCTACAGAATAATTTGTAATGTAACAGATATGTTGATTATAGGGCGGTATGAAGTTCGACGGGTCAGCTAGTTATAATATTTAAAAAAGGGATAGCAACCAGATAGATTATTTACTAACGATAGGAGTACTTAAAGTATTAGTAAGAGCCTTAATACAAGTCCGTACGATCACCATCAAACGTACAGTTTAACATTTTCTCATACTGTGAAGTTTTTCAATGCATGAATGACTTGGAACGTAATAAAGTCTATATTCATTTGAAAAAGTAAGAGATATATATTGCAACGATTTCGTATTTATGTACATTTTCGTTGCACAAATTTATAAATTTTTACGACGGACACATAATTTTAGGCATAAAATTTAATAATACGTATAGTATTTATGTTTGTAATGTCTGTTTGTTTGTTACACTTAATACATTTTGATTTGACGAAACCTAATCTAACCTAACATTTAAATGAAACTAATATCTTCGGATTTACTACGCTTTTTTTTTTACTATAAACTATATACTCCCGACGTTTCGGTTACTTTAAAGTAAAGTCAAAAATAAAAAAGCTTAGTAAATCCGAAAATATTAGTTTCATTTAAATGAATACTCGCGAAAATCTTAGATCTCATTAACCTAACATTGATTTCAACCATTTTTTTTAATTACTAGCTTTCTTAACTCTGCTAGTACGTTTTAGGTAGTTTTAGGTTCCTTTAATAATCTACTAGTTTTTGCCCGCGACATCGTCCGCGTTAATTTCGGGTTCAGTATTATATGTATAGCTGACCGGGCGAACTCTATTCCGCCCTAGAAGGCCTAAATAACCCTATTTTGAAATTTATAAAGTATTTCTGTTTCGTTCAAACAGAATTAAATATCATATGTCCATCTCCTGGTTCTAATCTATCTCTCCACCAATTTTCAACCATATCTCTACAGGCGTTATTGAGTTATAAATAGTGTAACTAACATGACTTTCTTTTATATACAAAGATTTTAGGTATTATAGCGACAGAAACATCCAAATCTATGTATGTATATAGTTAATAAAACGATATAGTGTATATTAACGATTAATGTATTCCCAAAGAGGGTTGATGTCAGGCAGGCGGCCGGTCGTAAAAACAATTAGCCAAAATTATTTACAATATGTAAGGCAGACCCTGGCTAAAGCTGGGAAAAAATTGCCAGGAAGAAGACAGTAAATACATTAAACAGTGTTGTTATAGCTACAGGTATCTTGTAACCAAATTGCCTTAATTCCAATGAGCGCAAAATGGCCGCCCGCGTCGATAAATGCGCGCGCACCGACCCGCCTTTACAACGATGCCTACTGCCTTACTAACCTTATGTACGGCGCAATTCATGTTATTGGGAGTGAATTATAAATAAGGATTGTTTTATAATTGTTATTAATTATAAAAACATCATCAGTCTTTTATTATTAGGGCTTTTAAAGTAGGAATCTGAATTATGAAAGCAAAGAGGTTGCATACATTTAAGAGTTGCAAAACTAAACTTCTTTTTTAAACCAGCCACGAAGTTTATACATAAAAATACAACTCAAATTTTATATATAACATGGATTTAATAAATAAATATAATATTTTCTTTATACATCCCTACTAATATTATAAATGCGAAAGTAACTCTGTCTGTCTGTCTGTTACGCCTTCACGCCTAAACCACTGAACTGATTTCAATGAAATTTGGTACAGAGATAGAGTTGACCTTGAGATAGAACATAGGATAGTTTTTATCCCAGACTTTTGAAAGGTTCTCTTGGAAACGCGATATAACCGAACTCCACGCGGGCTAAGCTGCGGGCGGAAAGCTAGTATTAAATTGAAGTGATTTTTTTTTTTTCATTTAAATTTTTTTTTTAAGCTATGTCTTCATTCGCACTAAAATCGTAGAATATTCTGCCAATGTCAACATTTTTACAATTTTATTTCATCGGATGTAATATCAACCATTATTTTTTATTCTCAATTTGTCACTTTCCTTGAGCGCCACGCGTGCTCTCTCCTCCAGCGACGCTCTTAGTAACTCGATATTTGCAAACAGCTTTAGTTCAAACATAAAATGCAAGCGTATGCATTAAATATGCATTAGGATTTGTTTCGTTAGAGTTTTATTTTATTATAATTTAAATTTTGTTGCATCAAATTTTTCGTATAAATTAATATAATTGGTGGAATGAAATATTGAATGAATGAATGAATTAAAGGAATGAATATATTTTGTATAGAATGTATTCGACAAGTTAGTAGAAGCTCAGTAACGTGATACTCTGTGGCCTGTGCTCGTGTGTTGGTACAGGTGTTGATGTTTGAACTGTACTGCTACCGATCATATTAAAAAAAAAAAAAAATAATTTTCTTTACAATAATTTTTCATAGTAAAATCATTACATACATTTGATCATCATTCTTTATAATCTAAGTCTCTTATTGTTTGGAATAAAAAAAATATATGTATTACTGATATTTTAAATCACCCTATAGCAAAATTCCATGCAAAAGTTAATGGTAAAATTAAGAAATATTTTTGTATTAAAACCTTTTTTCTGAAATACACAGATAAAATTCATTACCAGTTCCTAAACGAAAGTTCCTGACGAATTAAAACCATAACAATATCTGTTGAAGCATCTAATGCCAATGATAGTTCTCTCTGTTAACACAAAGCTTCCAAGTAATTCTATTAAAGTTAGTCAGTTCTCTTTATAACAAACATTCGATTCGATTGGCTCGGATCGTGCAAATTAATATTCAATTCACTCAATTCAAGAAGACGGCCGGACGCGGACACACAAAGATCCGGAATCAATTCTGAAGCCCAGGAGTCATAGAGAAAGTTAATAGTGGACAAACATCAAAAACTTGTCTATGCCACTTCAAAAAACATGGCGGATCGAAAGGCGGCAAACGATCCATGACTGATGTCTTCACGGCCGATTAAATAAATCCAGTATTAATTGGTTTGGTCGTACGTCGCAGGTGCGCGTTATTTAGTTTTATTTTATTAAAAACAACTGTTATTAAAGCCAGTTCGATTAATAATTAACCGGTAAAATGATAAACTTATTAACCTTATTTCCCATCACTATTTCAAACGTAACGAGATACGGTCCTCGACGAACTAAAATAGAAATAAAAAAATGATTCGAATAAAAAAAATCCCGATTCATTTGAACGTGGAGTTAATTAGAGAAGTCAATCAAATGTTTTGTTGAAGCGTATTGTGTTTTGTTCATCTATAATGACGAAAACATGTTCTCTATAATTACTATATCAAAGATTTTTATTATTCGAACTTATATCTGTTAAAAACTGACGAAAAATGTTTCAACAAACAGACAATAAACTGTCTAATCACTTAGTAGATTCTGTAAGAGGAACATTTAAATTATAACTACTATATACACGAACTTGGGTCTCATTGGAAGCGTACCTGTAAAAGGGAGTCGTGTGGACAAAATAAGCAATTCCAAACGATCGGTCCCATGTTTGTCGACCACTAGAGCCTTGGCTGTACAAACAAGAGGTCTCACGTCCGCAAATACAAATGCATCGGAAATTATTCCACTGTACCGTTGCAATATATAAATAAACTAAAATCTAAATGCTTATATCATGCGTAATGTAATGAGAGTAAGATTTAAGTTATTGGCTTTTGAATTAAAGGGATTTTTATCGTATTTTGGACATGAAAGGTAGATCACTACCGGTATTGCCTCGGGTGTGGCTAGCTCTAAGTGGACACGTCAGCTACAGACACAACATTTATCAAACAGTTACATTTAGGGAGAATATTTGCTTTACATTTCCTGGTCACTAAATTTCGCTACATCTCAATTCTATATCTAAAGGTACTGAGATCAACAAAATGAGTATCATTTAAATATTGAAGAACCGATCGTTAAGATAACCCAATGTGTTTGTATCATGGTGAAGCTAGGCGAGGGTGTGATCGTAATACAATACAGCTATTATAGTGTATATTTGTTCACGCACAATTTGCCAGACGAGTTTATACGCTGGCTACATCATGGGGAGGAAGATACGGCCGGGAGATGAACTGACAATTACTAAAAATTACACGGCCCGTCACTCATCAACTTACTGACTTGAAATTTATTAGGAATTATGATCAATTATCAGTTTTGAGTCCAGAAAAACATATTAACAATTAGTTAATTAAAACATGTTTTGACATTATCTTTTCTTATGTCACAAAATTATTCTACATAAATTTAGTAATTGTCAAGTAAGTATTAGTAATTCGGCGTCTACCTTTTGTAATATTTGATTAGTTTATTTGTGTAAATGTTTTATTATGAGTAAAGCCAGTTACAAATGAAATATAATGTCTGTACTATATTTATATTATCTCAATTGACAGCCGCGTCACATTTTAATAACTGTCATCGCAAGTGACAGTACTGTCACTTAGTGACTTACTATCTAAAGTTTTACTTTTTCTTCTTTTGAATGGTTCAAACTTACGTTTTAAGTATTTTAAGAATATATATATTTCAATTGTTTATTATTTATAATTTTTATATTTACCTAAATTCTAGTAAGAACGTTTTTGTTTGGATTCGCTTAAATTTGTGTTATACACACAGGCATTTAGAAAAACATTTGTAATTACTAAATATACCGTATCTCATATATGAAGACTTATTATATAAAGGATATTTCAATATTTTTAAATAATAATATGTACTATTCATTTATAATCATGGTACAGATTCAATAATTTTTTTTATACGTTTGTCATTTGTCATATTGATTTAACTGGCAACACTATCACCGGTTATTAATTCTAATCACCGGTTTTTATTACCGATTCAGTTAACCGTATATCATAGTATAGTTATTCGGTTATGTTAAGACTCTAATTATCGTTGGCCGTCACCCGCACACCGGACCCTCGCGGCCAATTTCACGCCAGATGAATCATCAGAAACACTCCTACCTCACTGCCCTCAAATACTTTACAATTTGTAGATAAATCAACTAATTTATACACAATATTCATCACTTATATTGTTATTAAATTAATAATTAATCTTTTTATCACAAGTGTAGCTTATATATCGATGTATCCTATATAAGGGCCAATGTAGTAATTTACCTATTTTAATTTTTTTTGTTTTAAACACTTCATAATATTAATATTCTACAACATCCATTAAAAATTCTTATCTGTTGGTGGAAAGAATTAGTTTTCATTGAAGTAAAAGGGCATAATAACACACTTTTTAACGTATAAGGGCTTATATACATTATTTAAAAAACTAATAAATTTACAAAAAAAGTTTATCAAGCTTAAATGACGTGCATGTATGTCATAGTTGCTATGCAAAGTTTCAAAAGCATCAGTTGTATGTACAAGATACATTGAAATCAAATTTAAAAAACACTCTACCTAAAAAATTTACATTTTGCACATTAGCCCTTATACATAGGGGCCATCGATATATTACTAAAACTATGTGTTCGGGCAAGAATTACAACAGATATGTTTAAAATATTTTTCGTGTTAAACTTATGAGATTATTGTTTATTTTGCTCTTAAAGACTTTCATTCCTTGAGGCTGCTGAGGGAAGTAACATACAATATTCATTGTACATATAATAATTATCAAAGTCTCGTATAAAGTACTCCAAGCATGACAATTACAGAAATGTAAAAGAAAACGTCTGGAGCTGAAATATAATTTTAAAATAGATATATTTTTAATGAGAATCTTGCCAAGTCACGTGCGAGCTTGGAAATGAAGTGTGTACCTACGATGAGAAAAAAAAACACAATCTCATACGAGATTTATAACGGGGCATTAGAGAAGTTATATCTAGCAAATATTATAAAATACATAACATTTAATATTATTTTATAACAAAAATATTGAAAGATTACGTACAAAACAGAAATACGTCCTACAAAAACGGTATCTAAATAAAAAGTTCTCTTAAAATATCAGTTTTGCTAGATTCGCTGTCGATTTAGAAGCTGCAAGGACCAAGCATCTGTTTCCATATAATTAAATTCATTTTAAACATAAAAGAAACGTTTAAAAACCCACCAGAACAGCGCAACATTTCAATTAAACTCCCATCAAAAAGATCCTCATTCCGATAACAAAATGTCCGGTGGCGCATTGACATCGCCACAAAGGAGCTCTGAGCGAGCGTAGACTAGCTGAGTTTTTTTCGATGCAAGCCAACGATATCGTATAATGCAGCCAAAACAGAGCACGGAGGTCGGACAATAGACGTAAGTAAGACAGAATGGGGAGTTATATTTTATTGAAAGACCCTTTTCGATGGCTGAGTGTTGTGTAAATAGAATGAGCGGTGAATTCGATGGAGCATAATGTGTGGAATATTGCTGCCGTACGGGTTCCGAGCGTATCTCGCAGTTACAATAAAATATTGCAAGGTATAGCCGGGTATGTCAATGTTTGCTCTCATTGTCTTTAATCAAATAGATTTTACTCCTACGGAGACATATCTATCTATCGAACAGCATAAAACACGATGTACGAGAAACAGTTTGTTAAGAATTATGTTAAAATTATTGGGTTAGTAATAAAGCGGAACAGCCGCACTCAAGTTGATTTAAATATTAAAAAGAGTAAATAAAACATGGCGGAACTGTCAACACACATATATACATCCTACATATAGTACACTCATTACGCATTCAGTAAACAAACCGTATTTTTTAATCTACAAAAGTAACTAAAATAAAAACACGCGCAGCCACTGTCGTGTAGTGTCATTAGCGGATGGCGGCGCACTTAAATGTTGCCAGCGCGAGAAGTTTAATTTCCACGGCTGTTATTATTTTTTTTTTTTTTACCAATGATAATAATAGGATGGCTGTGACAAAGTAATTACAACATTAAACAACGGCCGAGAAACATTCTTTAATGCGATGTTAAATGGATTTTATGGTACAGAAACTGCGCGGATGATGATAAAGATTATAAAATATAGCATTATACACTTTAAATTGTAAACATTTTACATTATATTCATCTTTAATACTGATATATTTTACGGTTTGCATTTAAACGAGAATCTTTCGTTGTAATGCGTCAGCCGTGGTATGGTTTTGTGAAAATTGAAACTTTAATGTAAAAATGTTACCTTGACTACTTAGGTTTAAAACTCATAAAAATTAATATCTAGGTAAAGGTTAGGTTTTTAATATTTAAGGGGAAGTTCTAACTCATTGACTTGATAATGATAATTAATCCTAATGTTAAGGGTAAGCATAATCCTAGTTTTAAGGGTATGTTCACACTGCCGACTGCTGTACGGTTATCTAAACAGCTGCTTCAGTTTCCAGGCTGATGACGTCGACGTCTGGCGGTATGGGCCACGTGAACAACATGGGCGGACTGGCGGCCTGCGCCGGCCCGGACGCCAAGCCAATGCAGTTCCCACTGGCGCAGAGACGTAAGAGAAGAGTATTGTTCACACAGGCACAGGTTGGTGGGGTGATCTTTTTTATACATACTTGTCTAATGTGGTTAATTACTGGGTTTGAAAAGAAACGTCTTTGTAGCTTTAAGTCGTATTTAATAATATTAGATATAAGATTTTAACATAGCATAATGAGAGCTTGGGCCAATTGTCCACCAGATTTGATGTATTAGTTTTACAAAGGAGACTTTACACTAGACTTAATTGTATAATATACCATACACACTATATTTATTACACTTCACTTTCATCCTAAGATAACTTTAAATTTGATAGTAATATGATTAATTCATTAACTTTGTGTTCGGAAACACGTCCAAAAAAAGACAATTCTTTTTTAAAGGTAAATATTTGTATTATGTAATTACTGGCTTTTACCCGACTTCGTCAACGGTAACTTCGAATTGGCTTCAGAATAAATAATAAAATTGATTTAAAATACAAGAGTAACTGATCGAATGTTAATTGATCATTCATCGGTAAGAGTTAAAAAAATATCGATTTATTAATATAGTTTGGTGACAGAAGAGTGAACATTTTAATATTAATGGCGCATTATTGGTAAGAAAAATGAAAAATTATGTCAAAAAGTAAGTAATGTTTTCTTCACTTTTAAGCACATGAAAATAGGATACAACCGATTCTCTAATTTGCGAAATATTTAGGTATATTAATGTGATAAATAATTTGTGAATCAGTGTCCCAGGAGTATAGTAACTAACATTATATACAGGTATATATGTATGTATATAAAACATAAACCAAACATTCAGTCAGTTAATTTCAATCGGTATCACAAGTGGTTGGTTGACGAGGGATAATTAAAATTATATAAGGACTTAAAATGTTCCAAAATATTTTTGTTGGTGACTGTGATATTTCCATGAATCTGATTGAAAAGTTTATCTTATTATAATAAAATTATAATATTAGGAAATGAAAATGATGAAACATTTTCATCTCGTCTGTCCGTGATCACGGTTGCTGAAAAGTAACCGAAACGTCGGGAGTATGAAGTTTCAAATAATAAAATTCATTTAGTAATCCGAACAATATTAATTTCATTTAAATGACTACTCGTATTTATTTATTTCCTAGATCTCATTATTATGAAACAAATTTTCATGTTTTTAAAATAATATATTGTAGTATTCTATATATTGAATTTCATTATCTTCTGCTTCTTAAGTGTTGTTAATTTTTCGTCTCCTCTCCTCTGTACACACGGCCCTACGAGCCCGCGGTCCGCCGGGACTGTTTGAAGATCATTTTACAAATATATCTCCCAACTACCTCACCAGCTCACTCCTCCCGACAGGATCATATTAACACTGACTGAACACGAATTAATATTTAAGTTACGACTACCCTCTCTGTTGTACGGAACTATTTCTTTAATTATCTTTATATAATCCTTAAATAACCCTAATTATTAGTATGCGTACCCAAAGCTTGCATCGTCACTACATACATATGTACATTATATCACTTACCAAAAAGTCTTTTTACTGCTGTAAACGTGAAAACTTTGGGTACTAACAAATTTGTAATCCTATAGTACGTACTGTTAGTGTTACAAAACTTTGGTTTAAATTAAAAAGTATTATTTATAACTATTTTGAAACTAAGTAATTTTTTCCCGTTTCACATTTAATCCATATTAATACTATGTAAAGATTTATTAATGAAAGCTTACGTAAACTATCAACGCTTAATGATAAAACTTGGATTAAGGACAGGTAGGAACATTAACCAGATGAAGTAAATTTAAAGATTAATGAGCACAATCTCTTCATCATGAGATATAAGATTTTCGATAATCTTATTCATTATTCAGTTTTACTACGCGACTTTATTTTTGATAAAACCTACATAAACCACGTTTAGGTTACTTTACATCAACCGTGATCACGGACAGACGAGATCTAAGTTTAAAGAGTTTATTTTCTCATAAAAAAACAGGGTTTACATAAAATGAGATTACTAGGTACATTAATATGTAGTTACAATATAATCTCGGTCATATATAGTGTTAGTATATATTGTATCTGGTATCAATGATCACTGAACATCTCCTGGCGGCTGGCGGTCCGTGAGGGGAGATGAGATCTGTACGCTAACGTGATTTTTATTGCTGTGGGGTCGAGGGTGAATACTTTAAAAACTCACTTCATTATCGATGTTATTTAATTTAGATTTGTTGTGAGAATAGATCGAGATGTGTCTTTTTGGAGATATTATTTTACTATTATAGGTATTATAAATATCTTTTGTTACTGGAAGTTTTAATTTAAATTATATTTTTGGTATTTTCTTGTTACGTCTCTCTATATAATTTTTTTTAAGTTCAATTCATAAAAAAAGAATTATTTAAACATCTGGCAACACTTTTAGATATTCTAAATTATCATGTTAACTTCTTGTACCGTAATTTTTATAGTTTAATTTGAATGACAAAAAGGACAAAAATAGTTTATGACAAAAGTACTTTATGACAAAAGTAAGTAAGTAAAAAGTACTTTATGACAAAAGTAACGACGATGAGCTTAGGTAAACTTCCCGTAGGCCGTGCGTAACGTCAATAAACATATTAAAAACAAAAAAGTCATGATGCTAATCTGACAAATAAGTCTAAGTATATATTAATTACATATAATTTGTAAAGTATTTCAAAACAAATAAAACAAAAGCCTCCATAAATAATTATATAATCATTGGCTGTACAGACTCGTCATAGTCCTACATATTATGTCAAATGTAGTACAATTCCCGCGCTACACAGGCTGTCAAACAATGCTATAGGTGTTGCCATTCTCGAAATCCTCCCCGGGATTTCAGGGAATAGAATTAATTGCATGGAGCGAACGTGGCATATCTTTCACCCCCGGGGCGGAGTCTCGCCATGGGAGGGGCTTCCGAGGACTCCAAATTAAATAGCTATGCCGGCGTAATGTAGCGTCAGGTAACGAAGAATGTGTTGATATATCTATAGAGAGCAACACGAGTCAGTACGCGCCTCACATATATATACACAACATATTAGATTAATTCATTAACATTCATTATTATATATATTTAATATATAGTTTTTTTATCGCTAATTAATTATTAGTATTATATTGATTAGATGAAATAACTCGGATCTTGTTCGAATTAGTGACGCGAGATTTAAAAAAAAAAAAAGTCGAAACAATAAATAAACAATAGAATGCTCTTTAAAATTTTAGTGTTAGACTGATTTTGTATTACAAGGATTTATTTTAAAAAGCGAAAGTTAGTAAGGATGTTTGTTGACCTTTGCTGCAAAAACAACTTAACGAATTTTGATTAAACTTTACAGTAATTTAGCTTAGAGATTACAATAGGACATAGGTTATAGTTAACCTCTTAATTCATGTTTTCACACTACATATGACGTTTTAACAGTTTTTCATTCATAAATCTTCACAAAAACGGGAAACTTTATGTGTACAGTGTCACGTACAAGCTTGAAGTATACATACAGTTGTATAGTGTATGAAGTCTCTCGACACACGCTGTATATGTGGTGACGGCTGCGTCACATATATTGTGAACACACTGTATAAGCCAAATTCAGAAGTCGCGCGGACGAAGTCGGGGTCAAAAGTTAGTTAACATAAATGAACATATATTATGTCAATTACTGAATTAATCCATTTTCTTTTATATGTAAATATTTATTACAAAAATTAAGTATAAGTTTTTTTTTGTTTACTATAGAACGTATTTCATTTTGATTACTTGTCACAGATCCACGGTTTTACTGTTTAGTATAAAATATGAGGACGATGAGAAAGAAAAATAAATAATATATTCGTTTATCTACTTATTAATATATCTATAAGTTTTATCATAAAATATAAAGTTACATTCATGCTTACTCCAAGTTTGGATCGTCACTACATTCGTCGCGTTAACAGTATTCCATTCATAAATTACGCAGTATTAATGAATGTTATTATATGGGAAACGGGAAACTATAAGTATGTAGTGACGATAAGAACATATGCTAAGTTTACCTAATTGCAAATCTTTTAGGTTGTCCATGTTCGTGATGTCAAATATTTCGTGAGTTTGGAATATATTCTTCTTATTTACAGATAATTTAAATTAATTAATTAATTTTGTCTTAACTAGTCTTCATTTAAAGTTTAATCTCTTTATAAGTTATACGACGATACCACGGAATGTAGCCACGTATAAATTTATTATTATCCTTTAATAGAGTTTATGTATATAGGGAATATAAGTAAATAAACATAGTATTGTATAGGGAACTATGATAAAATATTTTTCTCATATCTATCCAAATAAATTTATTTCCTTAAATATATTTAAACACTGAAATACATTTCGTTTCACTCGTTCCCTCATACAAGTGTCATATTGAGTTGGTGTCTAATGTTGTGTATCCACCAGGTGTACGAGCTGGAGAGGAGGTTTAAGCAGCAGAAGTACCTGTCGGCGCCGGAGAGGGAACACCTGGCGTCCCTCATACACCTCACGCCCACACAGGTCAGAAGAAAACAACTCATTAATACACTAGATTAGACATAGTAAAGTAACAAACATAATCTGTTAATTTCATAGAAGAATGTTAACTCATGCACAGGGCGCGGGTTCGATCATGGCCCCGGCAAGTACCAATATCATTTTTCCGAGTCATATGTACATACTTTCTAAGAATATTTATACATCACTTATAAATGCTGATTCCCAAAGAGTGTTGATGTCAGGCAGGCGGCCGGTCGTAAAAACAAATAGCCAAAACTATTCACAACACTAAAGCAGACCCTGGCTAGAGCTGGGAAATTGCCAGGTAGAAGAAGAAGAATGTTAACTCTTTAAATGATAATCACTGTTGTGTGTGTCAACTGATCGCTCCTGTTGTTATATCTGTATTGTGTAAACAGTTGGAGGCGTTTTGTAAACGACTGTTCTGTGTGTAGCCGACACCCGACATCCGACATGCGACATAAATCAACTCATAATAGGTATCAGCCGCCGCCGGCTATGACCTCGCCCCGATCCAATTACGAACACAAACCGCCCACCATCAACTCGATACACACAGAGTGGGGCGCCTCGGGCCGCGGGGCTCCGGTCTCCGCGGGCGCAGCCTCGCTCAGGTTGGCTCGTTAGAGTCCTTTTCGTTTCACGCTCCGCTTGTGACGCAGATTCGAGAGTCGCTTTGATATCAAGAATACCCTCCCTTGTCTGATCCTCGAGTGCTGTCTTCAAATTAGCGAGCTCCTCTTTGAACACACACACCGGCCCGTCAAGACGTCTCTCCTCTATGTTTCTTTGCTACATATTCGTGGAACATATTTATCCGTGTACTCGGCCGCCCGAGTTTCCATTATTAATATCTGTCAGCGGCACGCGACCCGTTTTCCCACACGCCGCGGCCGGGATTCAAATCCTTCATAACAATGGCTCGATAATCTGGGCCGTGTCAATATAAATTTCATAAACTCGTAGTAACCCTAACAATGCCAGCAAACATCCATGAATAATCTCCATTTTGAGGGTGTCAACACCATTTACGGCGACGCGTTTGAATTCCCGCGAAAACAAACGCCAGGGCGACGTTTGACTTGACGGAGACAATGGCGCCGGCCGGAGGCGCGAGGGCGTGCTAATATGCCGATTATAATTCGGTGCATTGTATTAATATTAATTGGTTCGCACGAGCAGCGCCGGTCATTGTTTCGTCGGCTGTCGATGGCTTTGTGAGCTCCTCTATTAACCTGTTCCTTGAGGTATTCACACCTCACTGAATACTCTATACCCGAGTCTTGGCGCTAAGACGCTTCACTTGAACCTCGAGGATCAATTCGAGCTCCGGCGCCTTCCGATTCTTATTTATATTATAAAGCGAGCGCTCGCACATTATAATATTTCACTGCACTTCATATCGGCTGTATTGACAAGACATTTATTTCGCCACAACGCCACTGGTCACCCTCCGGCTGTCAGCGCCACACATCGCCCGCTCACTATAGAATATATCTAAACGAATTCAGTCACGGTATTCGGTAGTGTGATTTGTGAACACGTTTAATTTACGAGTGTCGTCCACTCGTGAAGTTCTTTAATAATTTATGTATCGCATGATAAATACGAGTTAATATTAGATTGAATATAGCGATCTCGGAGTTAAGGAAAACCCTTTAAGTTAAACGCATTGCTTGTGCATATTCAAAGCGGAGCCGAGTCTAAATAGAGGCCGCAATAAAGCGGCGACGATACAGTCAGCAGAAACACTCGTGTAATGAAAACTTTGCTGAATATCAGGGACATATTATACACGAAGTTAAATTTTGGTTCAAATGCACAAAAATAAACAAACTATGTATTCTTCGTCAGCCATTCGTGTTATGATATTGATTCGTTAGTGACTATTAAATATTTTCTACATTGGTTTCCTTGTTCATCATATTACATTTATTATAATGTATATATTTCACTATTTTTACTATCCGTATTTATAGATATATAATTATATCCGTGATGTTTCCTCTGCGGACTGTACTCCGCACAATATTCCGCAGTATTTGACGTTCAGAACAAACACGAGCTCGCATTTCGTTATTAAACTAAAGTAAATTTCGATGTTCCCGGCCCGCCACTGTTGATACTCGCTCCTGGGACCTTTTCCCTCTTTCCTTTTATTTCATACTAATTGCCTGGTCCCGGCTGACCCAGCTTCAGACTGCCTATTCGTTAGATATAACATTATTCTCGTTTCTTGTCAATTTTTTCCCATAGTTTGTTATGTTTTTTTTTCCGTCGTGATCTATAATTTCTTTAATAAAAACCGGAGACAAAGACCTACTGCGATCAATCCGTCCATTGTCTATGGTCACGAGTGGAGCCTGCAGTCTGTGGCCGCCGGATGCGGCGCATGCGGGTGTAATGGAGGCAATGAGATAATAGTTTAATCATTTTAAACAATAACTGCTTGTCAAATAGCTGTTCGTACACTGGTAGAGGACGGCCAGCGTTTAACTGAAGAACTGCTCTCCCCGCACTGCCATTTGCGATTGTTGGACACAAGATTGACGTATGACAGTTTAGATTGGTCAACATTTTATGATTCGTTCAGATATTAAACATGACAAACGTACTGTCTTCATATGATACAGGAAACTAAAAACGATTTCTAATGGCCATATAATTACCAATACATTTTTTTTAAATCCCTAATCTCCGTGAGATTTCAATGCGCTTCCTGTTGAAGGCTCACCGCAATGAAAACCGACTAATATATTAAAAAAAATATGTTTACGATATCATAGGCATCCGAGCCATTCAACGCTAGCAGGCTGTCAAAATAAATTTTACAAATTGAACTCAAAATTTATTTAGTCGTCTTTGTTAGAATCGGAATCAACCGAAGCAGTTTAATAACCGAACATCAAATGTATGGGTTTTCGCTTGGTTTATCATACACCGATGTGTAAGCGATTCGTTTCAAATTATATTTATTTGAATTGAATGTTTTTTGTGTTCATTGTGTGATAGGATTATCGTAAGAGGATGATGCACCTGAATCCTGAGTCCTGACTCGCTCTTTGTACGCAGGTAGAGTCTATTATGTATTAATATGTGTAACAATTAATATATTGTATTCTTAAGTGAAATATTGCGTGGGACGGTCGCTTGCTTTGATGTGTATCTGTAGTCATATTAAATTGTATTTGTATATTAGCATTGTTTAAACGAATTAGTTTGGTTAATTTTTAACAAGACAAAAACCTACATGTTGTAATATATGTAGAATCGTCTCCTATATCCTATATACTTTAATAAGAATAAATCAACTATAGATAAGGAACTATTCCTCGTTATAAAGACTATATATATATATTGTAAATAGGACTCACTTGCGATGCTCCAAAATACCCCAAAATGTGTTGAAAAATATTTTTCCTTAACTACGTAATGACAAAAATAAAAAATTTAGATAATTTCAGTATTATTTAAATAGTAGATACATATGTATGTACAAAAATGAAAGCTCCAGTCTTATAGATAAAGTTTTATTTGAAAATTTTTTTTTTTTTTGAAGAAATGCTATTTAAATAGATTAATTTAAATAACATAAGTTGTTTATAATAATATTTCAACTAGGTACATGTATGACAAACTTTCGCTTGGAAGCTGGTAGCACAAACAGTAGATACGTCAGAGTCAGCTAGGTATTTCACGAAGTCTGTTAAATCTTAATCATCGCTCATAAAATAAATATTAATTTTGTGAATTGCCGTGTAAATATTTGATTGGTTCTTTCTTGTTCACGGTCGAAAACGGACTATAGGGCCAATATAAAACCTGGGGTAGCCACACGGTAGGAGTACGACCGGCCGGCGGCGTAGACTTGAAAACTAGCTTACAAAATATGTAGCCGGAAAAATCACATTGGTACTTGCCGGGGCCAGGTCGAACCCGCGCCCTCGGCAATTTGCTGATTTGATAAAGTCCAGATGTTGTAGAATTATGGAATCCGTGGACCACCTGAGATAATATATATAGATTGATCTAAAACCCAGGTCGATTCCTAGTTACATTCACGCACGTACTGTTATCATAATATATATTTCAAACGATAATTTATTTTACATCAATGAAGTAGAGTCTAAAGTTGGTTGTGGTTATTTTCAATAGATGTTTGTGTTTCTCTCCGTATATTATTATAAGTAACTAAATAAATGACAGTCTTTGATCTCGTCTGTCACGTCTGTTTATACAGTGCTATGCGCGGTGTACGGAATACTGACTATTGTGATAATGGTCGATGGAATTAAAATTGCAATATTTCTTAAACTATTCTCTATTCATATCGGATTAATTCTGTTCTTGTAACGACTGAAATAATATTTATTTGTACGTCGATAATACAGCACTATACAAAACTCTCTATTTTATTTGTAAGATTAATATGAAAAAGTAAACTCAACTTATAAGAGCAAATGGCATTATTTTATACGTAACTAGTAATTATTATGAACATTTGGATCTAATATTAAAGAAGAAAAGCTTAAAATGTTGTATTAAACACGACACAAATCACAGCCTCGGATGGAGATTTAAACAAATAAGAGAGCATTATTTATATAATTGTGGTTATCATCTCGCAAGTCACGCTTCTTAGTAACGCAACACCTCAGTAGGTCCGTCCGTCTGTGGGACTCTCATTCTTATGGCCGTCACTTATAAATGCATACAACACACTTTAACGTCCTAATTATTATAGTTTTTTGTTACTTGGCGCCCGATTTTGTAGATTCGAGTGTCATTTTGACAGCCGGATGGGTGGCCATTTTTGGAATTGTAGGACAGAGATTCCTGTAAATTCGTCACATATTTTGTTAGCCATATAGAACTTATATTTATTTTATTTAGTGTTTACAAAACATTCAGAATTGATCCTTATGTATCGTATATAAAGATTTGAGACTTAGTATTTTAAAAGATCTTTCTAGCCACAAAAGTTTGATACCACATTTGTCCCACAGAAAAGTTATCACTAATATTTTAATTGATTATTATTTACAAATTTTATAAGTGTAGTGTAGTAATAAATTTATCTGCTTATTGTCAAAGTGTTTAAACATATACAACATATATAAATCTTGGCAATAGCTTCTCAAATTTCACAAAACATTGTGTAGCGTCGTGCTTTCGCAAACATTTCCCAAGCAAGTATAAATATATTACAAAGTGTATGATATAATGTTTGAAGTATAACACGAACAGCCGAAAAGACTCGCAAGTAGACAAGAAACAAGTCGTTTAGATGTAAAACAAATAATTGAATGAAGAGTGCGTGCAAGGAAACACGGCGCATGAAGCAGTGTGCACAAGGATATTGAAAAGAAACTACTCGACTCGAGAGTCCGAGGCCCGGCGGAGTGAAATAAGCGACGCCCGCAACCAGGCCCGCTCATTAGCCCTCGCCCGGACCATAGCAGCACAAAGAGACTGCTGGCAGTTCCCACCGACAGGTCAGCCAGAGAAAACATACAGAAATAACAAACACGACAAGTGGACAGCGCGTTGGAGGTAGCGCGCGGACTGACACTGTTATGATAACGGATCGAAACTATGTATCGAGTAACAGTGACGAGCGGGGCCGGGGGACGCGCCATCTCACAGAATAAACAGAGGCCACTCCATGTATAATATATAGCTTATATTTTGCTGCGTTTCCAGCATGCGTAGACAAAGGCTCCGCGTACAGCAAACAAGCGATGTTTATTCTTTAGTCATTACGGCGAGTGTTGACTGTGCCGGAGCGCTAATTTCAGGGGGTCAGGCGCGGCCGCCGGCAGACGCTTGTTGACATTCGAGAAATGGAGATGGGGTTAGACGCTGTTCACGAGTCGACTCTAGATACTAACAGCTCTTTAATAAACTAGGATATCATCTAGAAATTACCTGACCCCTTTTGATTGTTACATATTATTTTCTTTATAAGTCGGGTCAAGCTAAAATGTTAATTTAAATGAAATATATAGTATAGTTGTTATATAAGTTAAACATCCAGGTGTGTATATTTTCCTCTCGCCATTCATTCTATAATGTGTTTGCGAGCCGCCATCTTCTTTAGCTGTCGAGTGTTGGTACTGTTTGAGTGCGTTCAATTTAACTTAACATCCACGTTTGATTGTAACACAGATAACATACCGGGATTAATTAATGCGTTTTTACTCTATAAAGAAGACTAATATTAATATTTTACTTGTGATTTTTTTTGTACAATAAAAGATTTAATTGCAGGTCAAAATATGGTTCCAAAATCATCGCTACAAATGCAAACGGCAGGCCAAGGAGAAGGCGATGGCGGAACAGAATCAACACAACCAGGTAAACATGACTCAAACCGTCACAAATATACAACACAACCCATTAACATGTATAATGAGAATAAAAATATTCCAATAAGCGTTCCCGTGCAGCCCGTATGAACGTTATCTTCAATCAGGTATTGAATAATGAATTTTAAAGACGCGGACGATAAAAATCGTTGACGATAGAAGTTCAGGGCCCCGTGACTCGTGGAGAGATGGACCACTCGATTGAGATCACCCGCCTCGCCCGCCCGCATCACGACCATAGTGGAATATAATTCCGCTGAGGAAGCTATTCCTGACATAAATTCCGAGATCTACAGACACTTTTGAATAGATATATATAGAAATATTACTTCATTACGTTCAAATATATTGTTTACAAACAAACAGACTATTCGACTTATCTTATATCTTAAAATGATTTTAACTTATAAAATTGATCTAAATACGTATTGAATTAAAACTATAAATACATTTACAATATAAATGAACAGACAGAGTACATTTAACGAATCTTAAAACAAATCACTATAATTATTTTATAAAGCCCCGTCGCTCCCTGTTTCTGTGGGCCGGAGCCCTAACAATGTACGTCGCTTGATTGCCTCAATTTGCTTGAATCTGGTGCATGACTTCTGATTGTTAGCGCGGCTGTGGGCGGCTCTTGACGACCCATTCGAGTATTGCCATGTATTTAATGATACAAACATTATTTAAAATTATGTATTTTACATTTGTTATTTTGTATATTAAATTAAATAATTTTTACAGTAACATGTTTTCAGGACACCACTTGATAAAATTATATTTAGTATCATTAATTTTATATGTATAAAACATGCTTTTTTGTTCATTTTGATATATATATTATACAAATATTAAAATACTATTAAATCAATAAATTCGTTTAAACATTAAATTGAGTTTGTAGAAATTTGAACGGAATCTTGTTTCTGTACTGAGGGCGGGTTCGTTCCTTGAATGATAAATATTTGTATAAGGAACTAACATTTGAATCCCGGGACGGATCTGGGAGGGAAAATATCCCGGGACTACTTACAGGAAAAATATACAACATGGTAGCAATATTTACGAAATACGCGGTAACATTTTTAAAGTTTTTGTATAAACAGCAATAAATATATTAAATGAGTTCCTTAAGTAATATTAAGGTCCAAAATCATCTTTTTAATATTTTGGAAGCCATATTTTTTTGTGAACTTGTGACTTCAATCAGTGATAATTCTAGAACGTGTTGTATATTGTTTATGGCTGAATGAGCTTTGCTTTTTTTGTCTATTCTGAACGAATTTAACAAAAAAAAATTTCATGTCCATAGTCGGCGTCATCTCCTCGCCGCGTGGCTGTGCCGGTGCTTGTGAAGGACGGCAAGCCGTGCGGCTCGGGCGAGTCCTCGTCTCCAGCCCACTGCGCAACCCCCACCAGCTACCCCGCGCCGCAGCAGGCCGCCTGCAGCAACCTCTCCTACCGCCAGCCAGCCGCCTACCAGCAGCAGTGCTCCGGCTACCTGCCGCTCCAGGGACGAGCCTGGTAGAAGTTCCCACAGCTTTACCACGAGACAATGTTCAAGGAGGAGATGTACTTCGATTGATGAGGGAGCTGATCGTACGTACCTACGGGAACATTGTCACTGGTAAAGCGGTGGAACAGTCTGCCGTGAGTGACGCTTAGTGAGTGATAGTGACTAGTGACTGACGCAGTGCGGGCCCGCGGCTGGCGGTGTAAATATACAATAGTACGCACCACTAAGGATTTGACTTTCATATTAATATTTCGTGTAAATTTTAGTCGAATGCATTCCGTTTTCGTTTCGTCAAACTTATCCCCGTACCGTGAATACTCCACACATATAAAGTTAGCGCCGGTAGCAGTCAACGATTGAGTTCTGCGACCCCCAGCTTGTGACCCTAGAGCTACTGTAAATAACTGATGAAGTAGGTAATTGTTGTGTGAATAGTATAATTTATATTACAAATGATCGATGTTTGTTGTGAGTGTGTAGATAGACGGTTCCCTGTACATATCTTATAGCTGACAGAACACTTCTTACATATGTTATGTTACGATAGACTTCTAGATCAAAATAATCAATATTAGCGGTTCATTTGTCTGGAGAAACAATGTAGCATCTATTGAACGGGACTAAACCGATTGCATGTTTAATTTATAGTTATGAAGTTGAATTAAAAAACTTTCTCATAATACATATGTTTTCTTTCGCCTACAACGAAGTTATTTTGTTAGTCCAATTTTCCTTCACGTAGGGTGCGGGTGGGTGAGGTATCGAATACACGAGCCTAATTCACTACGAGCCCCTAATTGGGTGATCGTGTAACCCCTCCCTTACAGATTATAAACAACCTCACCGATACATCAAATTAATATTGTACTTAAAATTATTATTTTTCTATTTACGATGTAAATATTAATGTAGACTGTCCAAGTGACTCGGTTACGTAGTAGAGAGCGGCGCGGCGCTGAGAGCGCGGGAAACATAGCAATAAGTCTTAAGTAACATTGTCAGTTGTAAAAGATTTTTTAAAGATTATTATTAATATTTTGTAACTTAATTTATACGGAGATGTTTTGAGATCTAGGCCGATGTAATTATTATAGTTAGGTTTAGTGAACTTGTAATTATAAATAATAGAATTAATACGAAAAGGAATTTGTAACGGTAACCAGGTGAGCTGTATGAATTTCGATTTATTAATTTAATAAAAATTAACGAGTTTTAAACGATTGTTTTATTGCGACGATGTCGTTATTGGATTCATGATTTTTTTAAAAAAGCAATCAGTTCCAATATATAATTGGACCCTTTGTTTATATGCCAACAATGGGAGCATCGTAAACGTTTACCTTTGTGCCGCCCCTGCCTCGTAAGCTCATTTTATTGTCTTCAATATTCCCAGATTACCCTATAATCTCTCATAACGTATAACAGTTTATTCCGCATGGCAACATCGCCTTTGTTCGGACGTACGTCACTCAAAGCCCGCCAAAACGAAATAATAACACGGCCGGGCCTAGTGTCCAAATGTTCTCACTACAGAGCACAGTTTAGACGAATTCCAACTCTATTGTTATATAGATAGGCTTTATTTTAAAGTATCAACTAGATCCACTTACAAGTTCTCATCGGAGCGAGTAATTTTTATAGAACAAAGCCGATACTGGCGCACGTGCACCGCATTACAGGGGCGGGCTAATAAAATGGTGGATTAGCTACAGTACAGGTGAGGGAGGTGAAATTGAAAACTATTGGCCTCTTGACTGGGAGATCGTCTTGAAACATATCGGATTACTGTCACCAGTGACGTCATTACGTCAGTACACTCAAAGAGACTCACGAAAAAGTGCAGTTCAAATTAATTACATAGTATGCAATATAATGAGATCTAAGATTCTTTAGAGTTTTATTCATTTAAACGAAACTAATGTTTTTCGGATAGGTATACTACGCGACTTTATTTTTTATAAAACTTTATTTTTTAATATATTATCCTGATATTTGCAAGACTATTGATATACTTATTATATATATGACAAAAGATACTTTTCTCCGAAACAGTAGTGGTAAAAGACGAAACGTCGGGAGAATAATATATATTTTATTTAATTTTTAATAAAAATCGTGAAAAGTACCTAGCCTATTATTTTACGTATGTCGGGAGTATGTACTTACTTAGCTATTATCAAAAATAAAGTCGCGTAGTATATTCCGAAAAAATTAGTTTCATTTAAATAAAATTCAATATATTTGAAGTTACCTGCAATTAAAACTGTAATTAGTTAATTATTTTATTACAATGAGAGTTCTTAAATTCATGACATTATCATTCCTAGTTAATGCAATGTCTTCATTAAAATTCATGTTGTTGGACGCGTCAGATTTGCATTCCCACTGACTATTATAATGTAGACCTTATTGAATAAACAGCTCTCTTTGTAACTGTATAATATATACAAGTACGATACATTACAAGATAGCTTTGTAGGCACGACTTTCTAAAGAATCTTTAGTAGGTACATACAATAGTTGATGGTTTAAAAGTAAGAAAAAATTATAAGATTCATTAAAAAACAAGCAATGACGAACATATATTTATATAATTTTGTCTGCTTTTGATAAATGAACAGTCATTTAAATTCCATGAAACAAACCACAAACAAAAAAATCCTTTAAAAACTCTTACCAGTAGGTATGTCTTTTAGTTTTTCTTAAATCTTGTTTCTTTCTAAAGTTTTTGAGTATTTATCTCTCAATTAACGATGGAGATGTATATAAGGAAATATATAAGGATATATCTTATAACAGGTTTATCTTTGGTTCCGATGATAAAATTAATAAGCCATTAAATTGAAATATATTATTTTGATGTAACATATTATTTATGTAACCACAGATGTCTTTTATTACGACTGTGGATGTAAAGTTCATAATCTATTAAAAAACCTTTTATAGCCATTTATGTGAAGTATAGTATTGCAAATATCAAAATATATTAAAATTAAAACGTTTAAAACCTTTATAAATTTATCACAAAATTTGATATAAAAATCTTTACTTATTATAATAGGTACTTAGTAATTTTCAAAATTCCGTCCGAGAACGTCGTGTCGTCTCCACGGAACTATTTTCATGAATGTTTAAAAAAAATTTCTTTATTTATACCTATTCGTACTGTTCCAATCTTCCGTTCATAAGCCTATCACAACGTCATTTTGAGCATTAATCACTATTGATAGCTGTTTTCATGAATGTTACAACACTAAGGTTCCAGTTGAACCCATGTCAGTGGTGTCTAATTACTCTAAAGTAAAACTGAAAAACTGTAGCTTGTTACTGTAAACCCGCGCCCTCGGCAACGAGAGGCGGACCCTTTAACCACTAGGCCATCACTGACTTTGACCACTAGGCCACCACAGTCATTGAGCGACAAGTTTTTTTATATTGCCGCTATATCAATCTTGATTTGAATCGTGATTTGAATCTAAAATATCGATCTTCAAAGATTTTTAAGTATTGGTCAAATAAATAACTCCTATAAAAAGAGCTACTTAATCATTATTAAGCATATAAATTTTTCATTGATATTTTAAAACTTAGGTGTTCTTTACTATTTCAAAAAAGTTGCTATTTTTCCTACAAAAAATAAATAAAATATATCAAAAAATTATTATTATTTGCCATACATCTAAAACAATATTTTATTTCGATTGGTTAGTGCTTGACTATCATTCCACTCGTTGGAAGGTAGCAATGAAGTCCTAGGTAGTGTACACACTATCTCAGTAGACTATTAAATCTTCTTGAAGACTACCAAATTGTAGTCAAAGGAAACAGATGCAGACTAAATGTTCCAACTCTTCAATCGATATACAATGATCATCATCACCATCTAATGCAACCATCATCAGTTATGATGGCCATTATCATCTTTGTGTCTCCTAAAAAACTCATATCACGCTTACCAATTGTTCCTTAATTTATATTTTCTTTAATATTGAAAATAATATTCATTTAGTTCGAGTTAGTTTGATACGTGAATTCAGTTGGAAACTATTCTTATGAAGGTTCTTAATAATCATAAGAATGAAAAATATTTTTTTATTACCAATGTATATCTAAGAACATCACCTCTATGTGTATAAAAAAGGTCTAAACTAATTAATTTTAGTTTATTTTCTTAAATAAATGTTCAACTAGAAGGAAGTGTTATATTTGTTATAGCTAAATTGAGATTACTTTGAAAGAACTTAATACAAAACCCCATATTATAATCTATAATGAATTTAAAGTCGTAGGTATAACTTACCCTGTGTATACTTTAGACCTAAGCTACGTAACGTAGGTAACTTTTTGGAAAGAAATAATAATTTTTACACACACAGATACATAGAGCAAAGTTTGCATATTAAAAAAAGGATAGTCTTTTGGCTGTTTGATTCGTACATTCGTGTTTCAGTTATAAAAAAAAGTAGAAGCGTTTAATTAAACAAAGCGCGTGCAACATGGCGGCCGAGCATCGATCCGGCGAACAGCATTGTCACGGCTGGTTTGAAAATTTCATATCAATTAAGTCATGGTTACCAAATTGAATTCGGCTGAAATAAAATATATGGGTTTTGGGTCCATCTGTGTAAGCGACGGTAAAGTACACACAAAACTATACATCTACCTACGAACATTGAGTGCTTTGTTTGAAGTTCACAAAATCTGTTTGATGTATTAGTGAAAATGAAAAGCATCAGAGAATCCGACGTGAATATAAAAATTGAATCACGTGAAACACAAACTTAATCGTATTTTCATTAGGTTTTTTCCTGAAAATACCGTTAAAAAATCTTACCCCACGCGCGGGATGTTGGGGAAATCGTAAAAAAATAAATGTAATACGTCTCCCCCAAGCTATCGCGAGCTGGTAGACGATCTGTAAACAAATTTGTGAATATTATTAGAGTCGGGGGCGACGCCATGAATACCGAAGAGTCAGCCATTCATCTTAAGGCGCCTTCATGGGGTTAAGACGTTGGCCATGGGGTTGCTTGGAGTCGTAATTGCCGTAAAAGCCTTTCCGCGGTGAGCGCGGGGTCGCTATTTCTGACTCCATAATTATATATTGTTCAGCCATACAGCCGATGTTGAACAAGAAGTTTTTATTATT